TCCTAGGGTATATGCAAAAATATTGACGATTCTCTGCAAGGTTTTGTATTTTTCCCCATCAAATTTCAGATTCTATTCTATTACATTTTTTATATGTTTGTTTGTTTGCACATGTTCTCCCATCTCCTTCTGAATTTCCATCTTTAAGTGTTGGTTGCATTTCCTCATTATTTCTTTTCATGTAGTATAAATTCGGTAGAAAAATGGTCACTTCATGGAAATATTAAACTTAGCTGTCTAGTGTATGTTTTGGACTTTATTGTAAGCATGCCTAATTCCTACACCATGGATTTGTATGTTAAAAATATGATACCTTCTGTCATCTTTAGAAACCGCAGCGAGGGAAACATTGGAGCAAGTTATGGCAGAGGCACTTTCAAAGTCTGGTTCAATTCGATCCTCAGTTCGAGCTGTCTGCCTTGCTGTTTCTGGAGTCAACCATCCCACGGATCAACAAAGAATTTTGAATTGGCTTAGGTATTTATTCCTCTGTTGTCTATGTAATTTTGTAGAAGTTTTAGAATGCCTTTTTCTTTCCTTTTGTCTTTGGTCTGCACTTTTCTCTTTATACCTCATGCAAATAGTTCTTCCCTGAGGATGTGATCATGACTTGGGTGCATTTATACTAATGAGTTGCCTGGCTGCACTGAAGTTTTGTGTTCGTAAAGAGTGTTTAGAAACACACAAGAGTGCTAGTTGCATATTCCCGTATCTAACTTAGGTAATTTTTTCTGAACCGATTTATGATGATAGGGATATTTTCCCCTGCCATGTATACCTATATGTTCAAAATGATGCTGTGGCGGCTCTTGCAAGTGGCACTATGGGAAAGCTTCATGGATGCGTTTTAATTGCTGGAACTGGAACCATTGCTTATGGATTCACAGAGGATGGTCGAGAAGCTCGAGCTGCTGGTGCAGGACCAACCTTAGGTGATTGGGGAAGGTGGATTTTTGCTTTTCTCATGTATTAATTTTCACACGCAAACGAAAGTAAGAAATCTGTTGAAATTCTAGGAAAGGTTGGTGTAAACAAATTTTAAATTTAGGCATTATTATTGAGTGTGATATAGGAGACCCTTCTGCGTTTTCAAGATTTTATGATAATCCTTTGGTAGTAAGAGTCTTAGAAGAAGTTTAAACGTGATCCTTTCCTCTAGCATCTGGATACTCTGAAACAATTTATTTCGGCAGAATATTAGTGGTCGGATGAACAGTCCCAATATATTTTAATTCTTGAACTGTCACACTTCTGTTTGGCAGTTATGTTTAAACTGATGATTTTGTTCTTTCAGTGGATATGGGATAGCTGCACAGGCATTAACTGCAATAATAAGGGCTCATGATGGACGTGGTCCTCTTACAAAGCTCACGTATAGCATTTTAAAGACACTTGGACTTTCTTCACCAGATGAACTCATAGGGTATGTATTTAGAATATTAAGATTACAGTTGTTGTATGAAGTCTCAAGTTTTTGTGGTCACTGTTTTACACGGTGTGAAACTGAATGAACTTGGTTAATATTCCTGTTAAGATGCAAGTAGGCACATTTTTGTTTCCACGCCCACTTGGGGGGTGGGGGACTTTGAATGAGATTTTACTACAATGAATTTTCCTTTATATGTAGTGGTCCCTGTAAGGTTTCTAATTCAGCAGGAAACAAGTTATTAAATATATATAACTGTCTGCAAATAGTTCTTCTCTCATTGCACCCATTTCGCTATGTGAGCAAATGAAAGAAGAAAACTCGCTTCATGAAAATAGATTATATATTTTTCATCTTTATGGGAACAAGATGTAAGCTTTCAGTCTATCTTTCCTTGTATTTAATTAAAATATATATATACATTCAAAATATTCTAAGCAGTTGGGTATGAGGTTGTGCCTTACAGCTGTAACTATGGAGCTTTCTTGTAAAGGAATAAGTATTTGAGGATTAGCTTCAGTTTGCATCTCTTGGGTCATATTGGCTTGAGTTAGATTTGAAGTTCGAATCTTTGGGTGAGTTTAATATAAAAATCTTTGACCCCTCAGACATAAGGGACAAAGGTCCGAGTCCCAGGTTATCAAAAAAAGAAGAAAGTATTTGAGGATTTGGTCAGTTTTTATGTCACGGTCATGGCACTGTAATATGATTTTGCAGATAAAAGTAATTAACAATATTAATATTAGGTGGACATATGCGGATCCATCCTGGTCTCGAATTGCTGCTCTTGTTCCAGTTGTTGTAGCATGTGCTGAGACAGGTGATGAGGTTGCTAACAACATCCTCCTTGAATCAGTTGAAGAGTTGGCTTTGAGTGTGAAAGCTGTTATCCAAAGACTTGGCCTGGCTGGTGAAGGTATGGAATTGAAAAATGCTTTAAGTACTTGGAGAGGGTGTATGATGTGTAGTAATTGTATTTACCCATTGGATGCAAATCCTGAAATCCATGTAAAGTTTATTTCTCTTCAGAATCTTGAAGATGCTGCATCAAAGTTATGTAGTGGCAGGCATGCATAATTATCAGTACTTAGTTTTTTCATTGAAGTGTCTGGAAATTTTTGCTTTGAATAGTTGCACTTCTTTTGCGGTCTGCTTCATCTGTTTGAATCACAATCATATTTGCAGATGGACAAGAGGCTTTTCCGCTTGTTATGGTTGGTGGTGTACTTGAAGCAAAAAAGAGGTGGGATATAGCAAAAAAAGTCATAAATTCCATATCCAAAGAATATCCTGGGGTACTTCCTGTTTGGCCTAAGGTGCCTATTTTACACTCTTCACTGTGTCTTACTGCTAATTCGGTCTGCTTCTTGTTACTTTTCCCAGTCATGGTGAATTCATTTACTAATTAATAGAGACTACTAGTGATATCAGAATAAGAGAATGAGAACAATCTTCTTTATGCCCCTTGTTTACTTGAGCTCACAATTGAATAGATGCAACATATGCTAAATTCAAGTTTAGTTATGATTCAGGGAAGGCGATATAATTATCCTTCATCAGTTACCTAAAACGATAATCAGAAAGTGAAAGTGATCTCTATGTTTCTTACCATTCGAAGTCCTCATTTTTATCAACAGGTGGAACCCGCCCTCGGTGCAGCTTTGCTAGCCTGGAACTTTTTGAGCAAAGATTATCAGCAGGAAGGACTATATAGGTGCCCACTAAGCTGAAAGCTGATGAAATGTACAGTTTCGATGTCAGACCAAACTTAGTTAGCAATGTTGGAAAGCTAAAAGGCAGACTTGAAGCAGTCTAGTCTTACGTTAACGTCTTAACGACCCTCGTCGATTTTCATCATTAGTGTAGCTCTTCATGTGTTAAGGTAATATATTTTTTTTGTTTGTAGCAATATGGAGCATGCATTGTGCTTTTATTACCATGTAATTCTATTTAAGTTATGGTCAAGCTCTGTGGAGTAGAGTGATTCTGTCTCATGGTTGTGTTGTAGTCTGGATATGGAGGGAAAGTCCAATTGAATCTGAATGCAATCATCTTGGATTCTCAAAGCATTGTGCTAGTCCAAAGTTAAAATGTTTTTTTTTAAATGCTTTTCTATAAACTTCACATTATGAATTAGACCTAATTCGATCTATTAGTAGTTCTTAATGCTTAGGAAGGACATGAATGCATCAAAGAAATATGGTGAAAAAAGTTATTTAGAAAATGTGGTTTGGAAATCTATTCCATGACATGTCAAAAATCACAAGACAACCTTGATCTAAATCCAGTGATTGAAAATTTGTAAGATGTTTGATATTGTAGATGGGTAATGATAATATTCATAATGAAATGAAAATTTAAACGAAGAAAATAAAATAAAAACTAGAGTAAGTGAGGTGAGAAATGAATGAGGGTGTGTTTGGGAGTGATTTTGTCATGGCTGTCAAAATCACTTCATTTTCCATTGATTAAGCAAATTAAAAAAAAATGATTTTAGGAAAGTTTAAGGGTGTATTGAGTGGTGGTAGAATGAGTGGTAATAGCTTAAAAATAAAATTTAAATGATTTTATGTTTTACTGAAATCAAATTTTTGACCAACATGATCAATGAAAATATAAGAGATTTTGACAATAACAAAAATGATTTTGCTAGATGATAATTTTAGAAAATCAATTATACTTAAATCTCTTTTTGCACTTATATTGAAGTAACAATTTAATCACTGTACTCTCAAATTTATAACAATTGAATCCCTGAACTTGGATATGATACGTAACCATTAAGGTTTCGAATTTGTAAGAATTTTGTCTCTATCATGAGAATGTTATTAAGATTTAATAAGATTTTTTTAATATGAAATCAACTTGACAAAATGTATTAATAAACTACAAAGATCAAGTCATTATATAATAAAAATTGATACATAATTTTGATAAAAAATTTTACGGCTAAGACTAAATCATTACAAATTTTAAACTATAGAACTAAATTGTTACCCATATGAAAATACAAGGACCAAATTAATACATACTACAATTCAACGACTAAAAGTGGCTTTTTACAGCGACTATATTACAACAAAAATGCACATCATAGTTCCATTTTGTGTACCAGCTAACATGTGATGAGAGGAAAGGAACTTGGTGCTTAGATTTCTCCAGCTAAGTGATTTTTGTATTACAATATACCAACATAGAAGGATAAACAAAATGAAAACTACAATAATATATAACATTAGCAGAACTTAGCACATAAACCCTCCAAGTTTTGTTGGTGAATATCATTTAAAATAATTTTCTCATCTCTTTGGTTAAGGTGAGGAATTACCTCATCTGCATAATCCAATTCTTCATCATCATCGTCTTCTTCCTCTTCCTCAACAACAGACCTGGAAAACTTAGTAGCTCTTTCAGGATTGCTACTTTGATTCATATATCCTACAAGTTGATTAGCTTCATCGAGCTCTTCTGCTGTTTTCGCCAAAGATAACAAGATATTTTTTGCTTTCTGATCAGGTAGGAGGCCACAAGATTCAATTTCCTTGAACCAAATAACAGCACTGCCAAAATCCTTGTTCTTTCCATACGCGTCCATGATCGTCGTCAAGATCGTCTGATTTGCTCTAATGCCATTGACCTTCATTTCTTCATATTTTGTAATCATCTTCTCAAGATTATTTATTTTAGCATACCCTTTGATTAGTGTACCATAAGTAACGACATTGGGTCTAAAACCGTCCTGTTTCAGTCGTCTGAAAAAATTTTCGGCTCCCTCCATGTCAGATGCATTAACATAAGCTGATAACATGGTTGTATAAGAGCAGATATCTGGGCTGCATCTGCATTCAACAAATGAAGATGGCAAACAATCGTCTTAAGCTCAAGAAATACATGTCAAAATAACTGAAGGCATAGCAATGAAAATGGAACTGAAAAAAGCTGTAAACTTCAAACAAAACTACAGTTCTACAGGACGTTGAAATTCGAAACACTGAACGCAACTATAAACTAGATGATAATACCTGTCCCTTCTCATGCTCTTGAGCACTATCTTAGCTTGTTCGACCATTCCAGAGATTGCAAATGCATCAAGCAAAATATTATAAGCTTTGTGAGTTGGTCTGAAAAATTCCAGGCAGCATAAGTTTATCAGTGCACGTGCATCGAGGAACGCTAAATTTTACTATTCATCACATGCCTGGTACTGAATCAAGAATAGAACCACCAAGCTACTACATGTGGGCGGGGGAATTTATATTTTATATTATGGGAGGATATAGATTTCATCCAGATATCGTGTACGTTGGCCGTTGGGTTAAAAGAAAGAAATGCAGAGGGCAAGTACCTGATACCAGCATCAAGCATCTCTTCAAAAACTGCTAGAGCTTCTTCTTCTCTTCTAGCTTTACCGTAAGCACTGATGAGTAAAGCATAGCTCACAACATCAGGTCGAATTCCAGCTCTTTGCATCTACAATTGGAGAGTTTGACTTCAGATTTGACGAATCTTGCTAAGCAAGAATAGGAGAGGAAGAAACAAAAAAAAAAAACTAGAATCTTAATTGGCCAAATGAAGCAAGAGCATGGCCTCCAAAAAAATTAACTACAACACGGACTCTAATATTCTTGTAATGCAATGGAATGAACAAATATTTGAGATTCCGCATCCTTAAAATCTATATTTTCTACATCATTCAATCTGTCTTCAATGAACACAACCCAGTAAATGCTACAGTTAACACGCTTGCCTATTGAATGTCACTTGGTTAATGTCTCAAAAGATTAAAATGAAAAAGAAGACCCCCAACAAGGCTTTGAGTAGCAATAACATTAAAATCCCATAAATTAGAATGAAATCCAGAATATGCTCCTAAAAGCAGTGGCCTAAAAACTGCTGCTCAACTGGAAACCTAAACAGCCCCATTCCTAAGAGAAATTTATTCAATGACTTGCCTAACAAACCTATAGGACAATTTGCCCATTCAATTTTCGTCTATCAGAAATACCTGAAACTTTTGCTCACGTGAAAACAAGATCAGCAAGTAACACAGCAATGTCCAACTCATACAGGTTTACCTGATCATAAATCTTTGAGACCTCCTTGTAGTTAGTTTCGAAAGACATCAAGCTATTATAAGTAACTGTAGTCTGTGGAACTCTTCGTGCTGCCATTTCAGCAAATACTTTACGAGCCTTCTCGTAATTCCCAGCCTTCTTGAACATATAAATCATCATGTGGAACATCTTTTGATCTGGCTTCAACACTGCCCTTTCATTGTTCAAGAGGGAGTCGAAAAGCTCTTCAGCTTCCTTGAACTTACATCCCTACAGTATTACCTCATCATTTTGTGAACCACGACAAACTAACCAAGAAAAGCACACATTTGAAGATCATTGAAAGGAGAAAACCAGTTTGTGAACGAAAGTTTGCAACGCGTTTGGTTCTTCATTTAGGACCTTATGAAAAAATAACTTTGTATTGCGATCTGCTTTGGGTTTGGGTTAACATCTTGATAGGGAGAGCTTGTATTTCAACTTAATTACTCAGCATTGAACATAACATACAAAAGCACATACAACCAGAAATGCCACAAATTAGACATAAACATTACTGATTTTCAAGAGGATCAAAACTGAAGGATTAGGCTGCTAAAAACATAACCAAATCAATATAATGGAAAGCTTTACATAAGATTAAGTTTGAACTTAATACCTCAACAAAAGTTTTTAGCATTATTTGATATGTCAATGCAGAAGGTTCAGGACCACCAGATTGCATCCTTCTAAATATTGCTTCGGCATTATTATACCTTCGACCTCTTCCATATGCTTCCATAAGAGCAGTATGAGATACCACATTTGGTGCATAACCCTTCTTATTCATCAAGTTCAGAACTTTTTCTGCACGATTGAAGTCCCCTAGCTTTCCATAAGCTGTAATAAGCATCAAGAAATCCATTTCACTAAAGCTCCACCAGCTCTGGGTCCGAAGCCATTCAAGAATCTATAAGACAGTTGGAAAGCATGAAATTGGACAATCAGCACATCTGAAGCTCGAAAGTTGTAAAACAAAGGTCTTAGGATTAAGGTAGAGGTTAAAGCCCTTCAATCCAGTTATAAGTTATAACCAAATTAAGTGGCTAGATAATTCTGGACACTATAATCGCCATGCAAGAACGACGTTCTGAAAATATTTGGTAATCATGTTGGAGTACTTCAAACACATTGTGATGAACAAGTCTCACACGAACATAGTGTTTAAGTAGACCTTCTGATCACAAGAAGAAATAAACAATTTAGAGATAGCGTCTGAATTGTTTCGCACACTTTAGAGGCAGATAAAAGATTAAACGGTGCACTGCATTTTCTTGCATAAGATTGCTCTTTTATACTCCTATTCTACTTTAAGACAATCAGCCCTTTGATTCTTTTCCCTCCCTCATATTTAGAAAAAAAATTGCTGAACAAAAGACACTATCATATCATACAAATGTCCATGCTTTGTACCTCACCAACGAGATTCCATTTCTTTAGCTGTTTAAATCTAACCAAGGTGCCCAACACCAAGTCCTTCGGAATAGCCTCATTTTTTATCCTTTCACTTCTCAGCACAGAAACAGCAGAGCCTGTCTCCTCTATTTCCTTCATCAGTCTCCTCCAATTCTTCTGTTCTGCCTCGTCGGCTGCATCCTTAAATACTTCCAACTTCTTCCTTTTCTGTAAGAACTTTCTCGGTGTTAACATTCCCATACATGTAACCTCCAATCTTCCTCGTACATTAACGTTCGTAGACGTCTGTACAGATGCACTAGTAGAATGTGTATGTATTTGCAATTTACTGAAATAAAAACAACAGATCACATTGTTACACCCAATAAAACATTAAAGTAGTTCAATTTCTGTATATACGTCTGTACAGATGCTCGTCTATATGCATATGTAAACAAAATTCTATTCTTATCCTTTTTTTTTCCTTCCTTTTGGTAAGGAATCAGAACTTTGCATAGATTTATAATTCCAATTAATACATGCTAGTGCTGATTGAACCCTAAAGAACGTTGAAAATCCACATTCCCCCACAGTACTAGTAACCCCTGAGAAATCAAGCAAATGTTCAACATTTCAAAAACACGCAACTTCCGAATTCCCTAAATCCAAACAGAACGATAACAACCAAGAGGAACCGTTCTCCAACAAGATAGTAGAGGACAACAAAACAGCAGGAGCAATAAAACGACCCAAGTAGACCTCGACAGTATTCAGATACCAAAAATGCCTGGAATTTTCATGTTAGCTGCTTGAATTTAGAGAGAACCCCATTAAACAGAGAGCATACTGCAGTGCAACACAAAACGAAAGTATAAAGTAATTGAAAACCAAAAGCTCGAACTCCATGGAATTGCAATTGCCTGCCGATAAAACAAATGGAAACAACTATGCAAATAAATGACGAGTGAACGGGTTTTCTTTGGGTTTAAGGGGAGAAGAAGAAATTAAGGAAAACCTCCAGTTGGTTAGAGGAGCTGAAACAACGGGCTTCAGAATTAGAGTTTGAGGCATCGGAGAAAGCTCTACTTTCGGCCAAAAATGGCTCTGGTACGGGCGAAGCTTTGTCGTCCCCCTGTCCTTCCGGCGTTCTGATTTTTTCAAGTCATGCAGAAACTCATTTAATATCTTATCCATTTATATTATTTCTGTTTTTCATTTTAACAAATGAGAATACATTTCCTAATAATAAAAATAAGAATAAAAATAAAATAATGAGAAAATAAACGATATGAACCTTCCTTTTTTGTTTAAATCACGATATGAACCTTCCGAGTTCCTAATCTAAAAGTAAAAATAAAATAATATTAATCTTAAAAATTTAATTACTGTGTTGGGTCTAAACCTTTTAGGCTTAGTTTTTTTTTGTTTATATTTCCGATAAAGTGAAAATGCTCATTTAGTTTTAAATATATATATTTTTTAAATGATAGTTTTAAATAACTTTATAACTAGTACCTAGAGGACAAAATAAAACTTGATTTTGATTAGTTTATTATCAACAAATACAATTTATTTATCTGTAAAGTTAAATTTCCATACCCACATTTGTTAACCAGTAAAATTGTGTTTATTTAGCCCTATAAACAAGTAATAATTTGGAATGTCGTTGATATCATAAGTAACAAAAAGAAAAAAGAATGTTGATAAGTAACAATTTGGCACGACATTATGATATAGGAGGTCAATTAAATAAAATAATACCGATTAATCAAAATTTTGATTTAAACTGTGTTCACCCTGAATGGTGCTCAGTTCTCCACCAAAACGGGTCTGTTTAAAATTGACAATTGGGCCAAAATTATGTAGGCCCCTTGATGGCCCAGTTACCAACTAAAACTATCCTTATGAACTTTACAATTGGGCTACAAATTATAAGGCCCATTAGATTCCGCGGTTCTCCAGCTAAGAGGCGCATTGGGTGTCCCAGTTTTCCAACTATAGCGAAATGGGCCAAGATAACGTAGGCTCAGTCTTCCAACTAAACCTGCATCTTTCTGAACTTGAAAACTGGGCCTAATTAGTCAGGCCCATTACGTGGCCCAGTTCACGTAACACGGGCTTTATAATTATAGAACACGCACCACGTGTTCAATGTCAACGTAAAATTCAAATTAAATGCCCTCTCTTAAAAAGAAGAAAAAAAAGGAAGGAAAAAAAAGGAAAAAAAGTTAATGGTGTCGACGCCAAAAATTAAATTGCAAAACAAAATATAGATCTCGTTTGCTCGCCCATGGTTCTCCCAGACAAACGCTGCGAGCCTCAATTTCCTCCAAGATGTTGTAATTGATCCGCCACCGTACTCGTCGGTTTCCGGCCAAATTGTCGACCTCGAATCCCAAGTTTTCAGCTTCTTCTCCGTCGCCAATGATCCCCTCCAAGCCAGCATCCGTTGATGTTACTTCAATTTCTGAGGTAAGATTCGCTTATTGTTCGTATTCGGCTGGTCCTGGAAATTCGAGCTAGAAAACGAAAGATTTGAGGCGGAATTTGGGCAGAAAAAAGTTGATGACAATTTACGATGCTTCTGCTATGATCCTTCCATTGAATCTCTTTCCTGTATTTTCCTGGCACCCAGATGAAAAAAATTAGCGTACATTACCATATCTTCTATTTCTTAATAGTTTTAGATCCGAGTATTTACGTGCGAAGCATATGATGCATTTGAATGCACTGTTTCATTGCTGAAAAGATATCAAAAAGGAAAAGAATCAGACGTATTTGTGCTTCTTATCCTAGTACAGAAAGTTGGAATCTTAGGCTTTGTAGTTTTATCTTCGGTTATGGGTTTTCCTTTCCCAGCCAAGGGGTGGGCAATAAAGAAAAGGGCTCGAATCAACTGTATTCCAGCGTAAAGATGACCTATTCACACTTTTTTTTTTCTTTTAGCAAAATTTATATTAGTCTCTGAATGTGTATCTTTCCTGTTATGGTGCTTTAGAAAAGTTTTGTGTTTTTATTTTTTGATTTATATGGTTTCTGAGATCTTTATCCCAAATTTTTATGGCGGATAGATGAAGTAAATTAATGAAGGAAATTGAAGAAAGCAGAACTTATGACGCAAGGTCTTGATGAAGATGATAGGGAGCCAGCCATGGAGTCTGGAGAATCTGATGAAGGAGGAGTGGGTGTCCGGGAAGTCTGGGCAAATGGGGTCTGCATAAAAACAACAGAAGTAGAAGCCAAGCTCGATGAGGGAAATATTCAAGAGGCAGAATCTTCATTGCGGGAAGGGTTGTCTCTCAATTTTGAGGTTTGTTTATTTACCACTATGACGATACTATCATTGAAATAAACTTGAATTTCTGGTGCTTTCTTCGGGCCAGTAGCAACTATAAACGGGGAGTAGTATACAATTGAAGCCTATTTCAAATCTGAAGGAAAAAGGAAAAAAAAATGGAGAATTATTCTTTCCTTGGACATCATCACATGTTCAAATTTGCAATAACACTGAATCGATCTGACTCTCAGCCATGGATGAACAAATTTGATTCTTATGTCTGTAATCATAGAGGTGAAATGTGTTGCAGAGAGAAATCTAGCACGATGCCAGTATTATTGTACTCGGTTTTCGTCAAATTTGATTTTCATGAATTTATTGCTTAAAAAAATGACTGCAGGAAGCCAGAGCCCTTCTTGGAAAGTTGGAGTATCAGAGAGGAAATGTCGAAGGTGCTCTACGTGTGTTTGATGGTATTGATCTCCAAGCCGCCATTCAACGTTTACAGCCTTTCGCCGAGAAAACGCCTCCAAAAAAAGGACGTGCACGCCCTGAATCTCAACATGCAGTTTCACAGCATGCTGCAAACCTGGTGCTTGAAGCCATATATTTAAAAGTGAAGTCTCTTCAGAAGCTAGGGAGAGTAACTGGTAAATACATGGACCAGTCTGGTGTTAATGGGATATAGATATGTTACTTCTCTTTTTCTTTTTAAATGTGCATCTCAAATTCTTATCATATGGGATTTTTCAGAGGCTGCTGATGAGTGTACAAGTGTACTTGATGCCGTAGAGAAGATATTCCAGCAAGGAATTCCCGATGCGCAAGTGGAAAGTAGGCTGCAAGAGACCGTTAGTCAGGCTGTAGAACTCCTCCCTGAGCTATGGAAGCAGGCTGGCTGTTTCCAGGATGCAATATCTGCCTATAGGCGTGCCCTCTTAAGCCAATGGAACCTCAGTAATGAATGCTGTGCTAGGATCCAGAAAGGATTTGCTGTGTTTTTGCTTTACAGTGGAGTAGTGGCTGGCCCTCCTAGTTTATTTCTTCAACTTGAAGGTTCATATTGTCCGAAAAATAATTTGGAAGAAGCAATTCTACTTTTGATGGTTCTTGTGAAGAAATGTTGCCTGGGTAAGATAAAATGGGATCCATCAGTGATGGAGCACCTAATATTTGCTCTATCTTTATGCAGCCAGACTTCTGTTTTAGCAAAACAACTTGAAGAGGTCATGCCTGGAGTGTATCACCGTGTAGATCGTTGGAAGTCTTTAGCTCTATGTTATTGTGCAGCAGGGCAGAATAAAGTTGCCTTGAATCTTCTGAGAAAGTGTCTTCACAAACACGAGCAGCCAGATGATGTGGCAGCCTTGTTACTGGCAGCCAAGATTTGTAGTGAGGATCCTTATCTTGCTGCTGAAGGTGTTGGATATGCCCAGTGGGCAATGAACAATTCAGTAGGAAATGAAGAGCATTTAAAGGGTGTGGGTCTTCGCTTGTTGGGTCTTTGTTTGGGAAAAGAAGCCAAAATGTCTTCCTCTGACTTCGAGAGGTCCCGTCTTCAATCAGAGGCATTGAAATCTCTTGAGGCAGCAAGTTCTCTGGAGAGCAATAACTTAGATTTGATTCTTGAGTTAGGAGTACAATATTCAGAGTATCGGAATTTGAATGCTGCTTTGCAATATGCAAAGAAGTACATTGATGAAACCGGTGGCTCTGTCTTAAAAGGCTGGCAGTTGCTTGCTCTTGTTTTGTCTGCCCAAAAGCGATTTTCAGAGGCTGAAGTAGTCACTGATGCTGCAATGGATGAGACCACAAAATGGGAACAAGCACCACTTCTCAGACTCAAGGCAAAGCTGAAGATCTCTCAATCACTACATATGGATGCTATTGAAACTTACCGTTATCTCCTTGCATTAGTTCAAGCACAAAAGAAATCCTTTGGGCCACTCAGAATTATACCTCAGGTTAGAACAACTTGCATACTCTCTAGAAAAGTAGCTTCTGTTTTAAGTATAAATCTCTCTAGTTCCTACCTTTTTTTACCAGAAGAAAATATTTAGTTCAAATATGTTGTAATTCTTAAAATAAAATTTCACTCACTTGTTGCTATAACTGTAGAATATGAGTCGCAAGCATGTTAACATCTGATTTTTTAAAATTTTTTTAATTTTAAAAAATCATCTACCTTACCATTCACGTGAAAACTTGTTATTGGGCATCGTGATCTGAACATGAATGCCCCACCGTAGTGTTATAAAAAAATGACCGATCAAATTCTACTGACTTATTTATAGAAGTTGTATCATAGAATAGCTAGAAGTCAGCAACATTAAAGGTGTCATTGGAACTCCTATTCACCAAATTGTATTTTTTGGTACCTCTTTCTCTGATTTTGCCATTTTTCTCAATCTAAATAGAATATAACTTAATGATAAATTATATTTTGTATACATATATGAGCCACTTTCTTCCTTGATGATAGGTTGAAGATGATAAAGTGAATGAGTTTGAAGTTTGGAACGGTCTGGCAAATTTATACTCCAGCCTTTCACATTGGAAAGATGCAGAGATATGTCTAGGAAAAGCTAAAGAGCTGAAAGAGTTCTCCCCAGAAGTACTACATACTGAAGGCAAGATGCTTTGTTTTAGACGTGAACTAATATTCATTTATTATTTTCTTAACCGTTCAAAATCAATTTAGTCTACCTTGACAACACTCTTACACTGATTTCCTGCTATTGAAATATAAGTTATGTCTTTAATTCTTTTTGATAAGAAAGTTACGTCTTTAATTGTTATCAAAGAAATGAAAGTTCATCAGGGAAGGATTTCTCTTTGATAAGTTGCCTTTCACTGCCCATCTTTATCCTTCAAGTTTGTCCATCAACCATTCTGTCTAGATCTTGCTCAGGAAAATCAGTAATTGCTACAAATATGCCTACTTTCTATGATCTCCCGTTTAGTTAAGGGTCTTACGAGAACTTACTGCAAAAAAATGGATACTTTTTTGTTGCTCTGCCGAACTCGTTCTCTCCTTTCAGGCTTCTTTGCTGCAAAGTAATATGAGTCATGGCTTTGTGCATGTTACTCCTCACAATACTTGCTAGGATTTTTATGATTTTTTGGAGTAATAACTTTATGTTAGCAAAAATTAGTTTTTGTAGATTTGTCCGTAAATGAATGTAAAATTTTCCCCTCCTCTCTCTTATAGAAGATTTACATCTATGGATAGTGTTCTCTGATGTCAAGTAGTATGTTAAGGATTTCAAGAAGACAAAAAAAGTCATCATACAAAAAGTGGTAGTGAAACTAGGAAAGAAAAACAGGAGTCAGGGAAGAATGTTACAAAGATTTAGCTCTCAATTAAGCAAGGAATAATTAATTTCTCATAAGTTCCAAGTACTGGCTGCATATTTATATTTGATAGTGTGTATCATATGCGTAAATGTCTCGTCTCTTCATATGATCTATGTGGGATAGATGAGTTCTTCACTGCAGAATGTTCATCACGTCTGTTGTTCCATCAGGTCTAATGTGTGAAGGACGTGAGAAGGTCCGAGAAGCTCTAGCTGCTTATATCAATGCCCTCCTACTCGAACCAAGTTATGTTCCTTGCAAGGTTTTGATCGGTGCTATTTGGTCGAAAGCAGGCCCGGATGCATTGCCTATAGCGAGAAGCTTACTTTCAGACGCGTTGAGATTAGATCATACCAACCGCAAGGCATGGTTTTACTTGGGGACGATTCATAGGGACGAAGGACGAATGGCTGATGCTATAGACTGCTTCCAGGCAGCTGCCATGCTTGAAGAATCAGATCCCATTGAAAGCTTCAGCAGTGTTCTCTAGTCATCCATCCATTCAAGGTTTCCATTTTCATCATTCTTTTTCCTCTGTAAACGAAGTTATTCTAGATTAGTCAAGTTCTACAACTTACTTTTTCTACATATCATGAAAGAATATATTGTTTTTCGTCAATACAGGAGGATCACTTCGAATTGGATCGGCAATGGGTTTTAGCATGCACTCAATAGATGCATATGTTTCACTTTCTCGAGGACCGTAAAGAAGGTATCGGTGAAGCGTGAAGAAGAACTATGTTGTAAGTTGTAACTGAAAGAACTTAATATATAAATTTAATAAGATAAAAAACTGTTTCAAAGCTATATAATTTGAAGTTAGGAAGTATGAATTGTAGAGAGATGAGGTGGTGGATACTTTTCAACAATTTGATTTTGTTTTTACCATTCTTGCTCACCAATGTATATTTATTCTTGTAACTGAGCAAATATTAGAGGAATTATACTTTTTTTTATGTTTATTTGTTGTGATGTATGAAATCCATTTACTTTCTTCCAATCCAACCCCTCTAAGACTCTTGGGAAACTCATATTTCTCTTAAAACTTGCAGTAATTTCGATGTAATTTTTCACCTGATTATATATATCCCTTGAATTAATTAACGATTCATTTTCAGGGATAGTAGGACGTTGTTCACTCATTTTTATTTTTATTTGTGATTTAAATAGATGAAAAAATAATTTGTGAATGTAATGTCTTATGGCTGAATGGATGAAAATGGAATAGTCTGAAGATCAAAATTTTCATTTTTCAAGGCCAGTCTTTTGTGCCTACAAAATTAAGTTGGGATTTAAATAAGTAAAATAGGCAAAGTGTAATTTCTTACTTATAATTTTTAATGTATTAATATATACAAATAATTTGAAATAAATAAATAATTTCAATGAACGTTAGACTTTTTTTAAAATAATCTCAATGAATATTAGACTTCTTTTTTAATATTCGGAGATCGATGTTCGTATTTCGATATTATGAAGATAGTAAATGAAACCTAAAATTATCCAGAAATTGAGATGATTGACATTCATTCCATGATTAATATTGTTTTGTGTTATCGAAGAATCTAGGTCATCATTGTAAAACTCTCAAGTCAATGAAACGTGTGCATATATATACTTACATATAAATCCCCTTTAAACATGTAAATGTTTATGCCAATTTTAGCGGTATACATCTAAAAGCCATAAAGGGGTACCGTTGATCTAATCTGTCGAAATACCATCCTTCGTCGCTTTTGTCACTAGAGTGTGAACCACACGATTTTGGTCTTTGCAAGTTATCATCGAACTACACGATTTTGGTCTTTCCTAATATGATTAAATGAAACAACTCCCTGTACAAGAACAAGAGGTTCCTTAGGACAAATGATTTCAATAAGGTTTTAATCTTGCCTCTTAGGAAGGTGTATTGATGGACGGACCATTTGAACGGGATAATGGAGCGATCAAATGATGTGGAGGTGTCCCAATATTTTGGGAAAGGAGGAACAAAATTTTGTTCAAAGGCGAAAAGAACAACTTTGTCATTCCATAGAAAAATATTTTCATGAAGCCAGGGATCCTGTCACGCAAAAATACCACAAGAAGACTCGCCCGAAGCAGAAGGCATACCATAGCAGTGGTCGATGATAGAGTCCAGGCCCGGCCTGGGTCCCCCTCCTACTAATTTCTGGAAGATCAACATGGACACGACTTGAAATGATGTTAGGAATATTAGTGGTTTGGGCTGGATCTTTAGAAATTGGAAAGACGGCTAAAGCATCTATTTCTAATACGTCGTGAGTTTGAATTTCAACTTCAATATTAAAAAAGAAATCTCAACGTTATATTAAAATTTATATGAAATAATATTTTTATAAAAAGTTCGGTCAACTTCTATAAACTATGCAAATTTTAATTAAAAATTATATATAAAATAAGAACAATCAAATTTTCAAATTTTTATGATTTATTGAGAAAAAAAATATATCGGTACACTAATTTATTCGGTACAATAAATTATTTTAATTTAAAATATATTATAAGTTGAATGCTAAGACGCTTTTCTATGATACTGAGAATAACCATTGGGACAACTATGGTAGCTTAGCTCTTCACACAACTAAAATGCTTTCTTTTATTACAGAGGAAAGATAGAAAGACTATAAGAGATTGTCTTTTAGTTTGAAAACAATAAGAAAATATAACATTGTTTCATGTAATTTAAAATCATAAGGCATCCAAATGAAATTAGAAAAGACATCGTAAATTTTTGTAAGAACAAGTTCATAGTGCTGTCTAGAAATTTTCTTTCAACTACCATAATTTTTGTAAGAACAAATTAATCCATCCGAATATAAACCAAGGAATTAGTCGGAGTTCTTTTCTATGTACATGTAGGAAGCCTCGTGAATCAAACATATGATCAGTTGTAGATGATGCAACTCAAGAAAATGAGTATCATCTTGTAGTTTTTGGACGTTTATTGAGGCACCAAATCCTATTGGAACCAACTAGAAATTTTACTTTAAAATTTTTCTAAACATGAGGGGTCGTAGTAGTAGGAGTAACAAGAAATTTAAGGAAACAGAAAGGAAAAGAATAGGCAGTCTCAATTTCTTGAAACATAGATGGAACAAAAAAAGGGGAAAAAGAAAGGAAGAAAGTGTACCATTGAAATAACTACGAAGAAAAAACCTTCGCCTAGTGCGTATGCGATTCTCTATCTTGTTTGCTCTGGGATCTACGCTTGTATTGGTTCTTGAAACACACGAAACTTGATCTCTTTGTGGTCTTCATCTTAATGTTCGATTAGGCTTTGGCCATTTTTCCCTTGAACGAGAGGATAAGTTGCATTGTCCAATCGGACGTGTTGTGTCCTCCTTTGAAAGCGTGTCCATGGCAGTATTGAATCACTGTCAGTATTGATCCCTGGGAGGGGAGGGTGTAATTCCGTAGTGATATTGATCATTTTTCATCTAATTTTTCAATAAGTATATACATGTATTGACCTTTTTATTTTGATAATTTTTTAATTGATCCTTACATGACCTTCTAATTTTGATAATTATTTTCTGAAAAAATCAATTTTTTTACTACATATTATATATAAAATGGTGATCTACTCAGAAGATATTTATGAGTGAAATCAAAATGAGTGAAATCAAAGGATAAGAAAAAAGTACCAGATAAACCTAAACCGTCTATTTTCAAGTATCCTGCTTAGAGAGAGGAAAACATCACGTCATCAATCACTAGGTTTTTACTTATTCTTGTTGAAATTAATTCCTTAAAATATGGTAACAATTTTGATAAATTATATAGAGTAGAATAAATGATCTAATTAGAGCCCATAAATAGTGGTGTGACCCGTTAGGCTGGTACTGGATTATTGATTTTAGAAGATTATGAAAAACGCTAAAATTACTTATAAATACATGGAGATCAATCCACTATGTTTTTGTCTCAATTCAAGAATTTTATAGGGCAAGCACGTGTTTGCCTTAGAATTTTTTTTTTCTAATTTTCTTGTAATTCTTTTTTTTTTCAATGTAAGTTTTTCTTTTCCTTGTGTTTCGGTTAGAAATTTTTCTTTCTTTTTTTTTAATCGAGATGAGGCTATGTTATTTTCTTGTAGTTGTTTTTTTCCCGTGAATCCATAAGAAACTTTGCTGTTTATTTTTATTTTTATTTATTTTCATCTAGGAGAGGTTCTATTTATTTTCTTGTAATTCTTGAATTTAGAAGAAATGAACTACGGATGATTTGTAATCACAGCACTCACTCAGCCAAGGAAAATCATTATCCGACAATTTCATGATCAATCCATTGAAATTCAGTAAGATTAAAGTCAATACTGAATTATAAAATTTGACGCCCAAATTTTCGTGAATAACAGTATTGCCGACTAAAATAATTTTGTCAAAACGAGTAAAAATTTAACAATTGACATATATTTCCTCCTCCCATCTAAAACTTTGAAATGAAATAGGTACACACTTACAAATAAATCCTTTTTAAATATGTCTTGAAATAAACCATTTTGTATACAATTTTGTTAACTTATTTTTTCTGAGTTCTCTCGTAGAAGCTACTTAAAATAAACGACAACCGAAAGATATAAAAATATCCAATTATAATATCTCACAGTTTCTATATCCTTGAGAAATAATTCACTAATTTCCTCGAATAAAATTTGAGTAATAATTTGGATATATATGACATAGTTGGGCAACTACAACTACTACCTTTACCCCATCCACGAAAAAAAGTTCCCCAAAGAATATAAGAGGAAAATTTCAGTCCTATTGTAGTAGGAATATTTTTTTCCCTTTTTCATATTACCTCCCCTCGTCGTTAGCCATAAAGCAACAATTAAGAATAGTGTGTCCATTAAATAAATATTATATATGACTTAGTGATGTGTCAAAATGTGAACCGAAATGAGTAGGTACTACAGTAGTAGTAGAAAATTTTTCGATATAGATACAGGTACTCCTCCCATTCAATACATGCAAGATCAACATCCTATTAAAAAATATAACTACCAAAGGAAAAGGATGACAGGCTTTTACTTAAGCAGCCCAGTCATATGGCAACAGCCAACCTGGACAACAGTTATTGTGACAGCCTTTTCCAAAACATATGTCACAGTCACACCACATGCTAAAACAGGACAATCAAAATGTAGATCAAGAGAGACCTCCAGTTTTTTCTTTCACATGTTGGAAGAATATTGCCAGCATTTTCTTCCACACATTACATGTTGGTAAAAACGGATACTTTCAATTGTTCCTATCAGATTATTACCTCATACCACATAATAGGAGAGAGACAAAAAAGTGCATGTCCATACACAAAAAACAGAGACAAAGGACAAATTTTATTGATATCTAGTAAGTAAATATTAGGCAGTTGAAATGTTATTTCATATCAAGGAGACAAGCTAGACCAGAGCAATATCCCTGACCACGACCGCCCGACTATCAAGCGTGCAACTTCTTAAGAAACCTTTCAACTTACATATGACCAAAGTACTTGATTTGAATGATCCATGCAAAAGCAGTGATTTTCTATACTACAGCCCAGCCAAACCCATCAACAGTGAACCAACATGTTTAAGAAACCTTTCAACTTACAGGCGGGAGATCAGTAGCGGTACTGATACCGGCTCCTCAGCTAGGACTGGCTGGAATATATCTAGTTCCCCATACCGCTCGAGGACGCGCATCCTACAGTCCTCAGCAGCCAATACACCGGTTGCAAACGCACCGTGCACAGACCCTGGGAAGCTGGTGCTTGTTGCCTCCCCGGCAAAGAATATGTTATCAATGGGGATTCTCAACTTCTCATACAGATCATGGGGCTTGCCAACAATGTCGTAACTGTATGATCCAAGTGTGTCGATATCTGTACCCCATCGAGAAACTAGGAAATTGATCTGCAAAATTGAAACTTGAGATGAGTTTTTAAATCCAAATCGTTTTTTTTTTCTAATTTGTTCACAATCGAAGTCCAACTGCAAGTGAATATTTGAAAAATGAAATCTTACCGGGTCAGAAGCATCCGGAAGAATTTTCTTGAGTTGTGTAAAAGCAAAATTAGCAGCTGCTTCATTGGACAATTTCTCAATGTCTTCGGCCAGCTGCCCAGCAGGCATGTAAACGAGAACGGCATGACCGGTGGCCTTGTGAAGATTGAGAAAGTAGCTGCATTCATATGTTGTTTCTGCAACCACTCCTAAAAACTCCACATTAGGCCAAAAAACGTGTTCAAAATGCAGTATAATTTTATTCTCTACCCCTACTCCAAGGTCAGATATGGCGGCTTCCTTCCAGTCTGGGAGCTTAGGCTCGAACTTTATGGTATTAGCTTTTAGCACCCCAAGAGGGACAGTAACAATAGCAGCATCAGCAACAAATGTTGTCCCATCTTCTACTGTGACCTTAATTTCGTGATATCGCCTCATGACTTTTGTAACCCTGAGGACCAATGGGTGAAGATTCCAAACCATAAGCGGAGGTCTGAGGCGAAACATAAATCATGAAAAAAAATGTAGAGAACATACCTGTGACCCAAACGGATGTCAAGACCCTTTGCAAGAGTGTTGATAACAGGAAGGTATCCCCTTACCATTAGTCCATGACCTCCAGGCAGCAACTCTTCCTGAAATTATCAGAATGACATTTTAAGAAACTAGAAAGAGATTATAGAAAATAGAGCATGAAAGAACAAACATTCTTAAGAGTACTAATCCTGAAGGTTTTAAGTTGTTGGAATTGATTTCATCTGTTAGATTATCCTCTCTGGCTCCTCTTCAGTTTGAGATTCTTGACCATTTTACTCCCAAGTTCCCAACAAGTCACTAATACTAGTACTTAGTGGAAAGGTGCAACATAGAAATTTGAATTCGATTGCTTACTGAAACTAAGCATCAAGCCCCAACAGCCGCTAAGCCCATAAAGACTATTGCAGCACAATAGAAACAGTAATAAATCTAACAAAAGGTGCAGCTCTTATCCATAATCACATGGGTTTACCCTCTCTCGTCTGATCTGTTTCCAGTCTAATCAAGTACTATCCATTCTGGTGTGATGCCCACAACCACAAGCCATAGAAAATAAAAGCATAACCATAATGCTACAAATTCAAGTAGTCAAAGGCTATTGAAACTGAATATGGTACAAGTTTTGAACCTGTTGTTGTCGATTTAGTATAACAATTTATAATATTTTAACTGCCTAACTCTGAACCAAGCATAGGTAGATATTTATTTCATTGTGATCAACAAGACATTCACAAGTAATGATTGCAGCTCTACGTCCATCTGTCCGTTGGGAGGAGGAGATTAATAACTAAAGAAGCAGTTCCAAGTTCCAACTCATACTTCATAAAAGGCCAAAAAGAAAATCTAATGCAATAGGCAAAAAACTTTCTTATCTTTTTTATATTTCATGAGATAGAATGACCTAATTGTATAATTTCCTGATTTACTTGAATCACTACATAGGGTGGCACTTGAGACATTTTTGTTAATTTTTATGATTGTATACAAAAATAGAGATCAAGCGACATTCAACCTATACTACTATGGCCAATATCATTTGAACATGTAAGAATAACAAAGTTAACTTTTAGTTTCCATAAGTTAATAACAATAGATAGCAGAATAAAATCTTCATTGCTACTGCCTACTATATAGTCCTGCAACATAGGAATGCAGAGAAACCATTGGACATTATTATAAAGACTCTTATCAATGAATACCTGATCCCAGCATTTCAGTGAGATAGTATTGGCATCTGCAGCAAACCATCCTTCCATCCTACAGATATACCATTGAAGAACCTTGTGGGCAAGCCCATCCATCCTGCGTTTAAGGATGTTTATCAATTAATGTTGAAAATGAAAGCAAAAGAAAGACGAGTTGGAAAACCCCGCATCGGGAAAGAACATACGTCAATTCTGGTCTCCTTTCAAAAACAATTGAGAATGCACGTGCTATAGTCATGTCCTCAGTATATTCATCTCTTATTTTATCAGCCTGTATAAAGCATAGGATACCAACTCAGAGAAGTTGACACAACCAAAAAGCATAAAGACTTAAAGTGAAATAAACTCAGAAGTTGACACAACCAAAAAGGAAAAAGACTTAAAGTGAAATAAACTCAAGTAAATCAGGAACTTCAGAATTCTAAAATGATTTCTAAAGATAACCTACCTCTTCTAAGATGGCCTCAAATACTTGTCCAACTTTTGTCACTAATTCTTGAGGGACTTGTTTCCCTTCCATATCAAAGAGTGCATAACTGAAAAACACATTAGATTTATAACTATCCACACAAAATAATAATAATATAATAAAAACAACAACAATGAAATGGATTCAATAAATCATATAAAAAGGAAGAAATTGACTCAATAAAAATTTTAAGGTACAAACAGAAAAGCCAGACCCACCAAAATTAAAGTCATGAATAAATGTTTCACAAATATAATATTAACCTTTCTAAGTCATGGTCATATAATACAGAGTTGTCCTCACTGGTACGGTACAGAGGTAATCCCAATTTTCCAATTAAGGGGGCCAACGGATTTTCTTTGCATACCCCATGTAACCTAAAAGTCAACAGTAAAGTAATATTAGTCACATCAATGTGTGCAATGAGTGTTGGTTTCTTAGGAAAAATGACATTAGAATAACAAACTTACCATGAAGCACCAAGGTCAATAGGAAAACCAAATGAATAATTAGTATATATGCGCCCACCAAGTCTCTCCCGTGCTTCTAACAAGATAACCTGATCAACAAAAATTAAAATTTTATCTACTTGAACTGTAAAACTTGAAAAAAAAAAATGCACAACATCATAAGCAAGTAATCTAATTCCTCCAGTTTCCAAAAAACCAGTCTAAATTGGTTTCCTATGCTTCTTCCTTCATCAAGCATGGTTGAGGGCATTAGCACAGACCTTCGATGTCCAGCTTTTGCCACCAGTTTACTATTTGTTTTCAAAGATATCGATGAAGCAAAATTATAATATTTGCAAACTTGTCTTTCCTGACTTCAGGGATATCCTATTTAGAAGTGGGAAAATGTCGCAGAGGTCTCCCAAATGACATCATGTTTCTATGTCACTTATTATTAAGGCTTTCCATATTCACTTTGACAGTTTGACATATGCTGGCAAAGATATATACCTTCCACAGATTATAGGTATTGGGGACAGCTGACGAGTTTCCTGGATAATCCTAAGCAATAGTAAAGGGATGCGGGGAGTTTTAGATTTTAGTTTCCTGGGTCCCCATTGATGTCATAAATGTTTTTGATATGTAACATGCGGGAGAAACAAAAAGCATATTTCATGAACGCAAAATTAGGATGTCAGATTTTCATCAGAGCTTGTAACGGATAATGATTTTTCTTTAGTTCTTTATAGTATATATACCTGAAAGGAGGCATCATGAAGAGCACGAGCAGCAGCTACTCCAGCAATGCCACCACCTATGACAATCACAGAAGGTGATCTCACCTGTCGTTTCTCAGAACTTGAATAGCAAACAGCTGCATCAACCAAAATGCTGGTATGAACATTCACACTTGTGTACATTTGCAGTCTACTTAACAGGAATAACAACATAGATCTTCATTCTGTAGATAATGGCACAGAAATATATAGGAACAATTCAAATTAGAATCTCGACCTGTTTCCAACGTGTGGGGACAATCTATACTCGCAAGCACTTCTAAACTTTGCATCCTATTTCAACTTCTTTTGAAAAATAACTACATTATATATCTATATATATTGCCGACGCTATTGCACAACGATGAACACCATTTTCCTTCAGAGATTTCTTAAATCCACATAACAGCATCTCGATAAAATTGTATCAATTATGTACCAGAAACAGAGTAGAAACCACTAATACTCACTAAATCGAGCACAATAACGAGCAAACAATTATGATATACCCCAAAAAACAATCGATCCAAACATAATTTTCCCATTTTTCAAATTGATTGATGATGATAACTTTGTTTCGTTCTGGTTCCTCAGGAACTAAATAAAGCCACATTTGGCCCTTTCAGCGGATCATACATTTTCGGAAGCTCTACAGCAAGAACTGCTCAACCAGACATAAACAAGAGCAATAACCAAATGTAAATGGGAAATAAGAATAGAGAAGAAAGGGGGAGGCACCGGACCTTTACGAAGTTGGGAATTACTCCTGGAACCAGACTCCATTCTTCGACGATGAGCAGCGATCAAATTTAAGTAGTCGGGTTATTATTAAGAAAACGATTGGAATTTGGATTCGAAATCAGTAATAAGGGATCTATGGATTTATTGTCCAAATTAAACAAAGAAGGAGTCAATTGAGGCGAATAATGGAGGAGAAAAAGTAAGAGACACGTAATGAAGTGATTAGAATTAGAACTCAAATTTAAACCCAGCTTTCCCAACCAGTTCATGCGCCTCGCTTTTCCAAAATCTCAAACCAAACTCGTCCTTCAGGCCACTCCAATCGATCAAACCCCAAGAAATCCACGATTACGATCAAACGTCCGCTCAAGTTTACACGATTCAGAAAGCGATCGCGATCCACCTCCGATTGCAAAAAGAAAAAAAAAAATCTCCCCCGATCCGTCAAAAGAACGGAACAGATCGAAACAAAATCAATCAAAATCCCCGACGAGAGAGAGAGAGAGAGAACGGAGGCAATCGAATTCTCGTGACAGCGAAACACTTTCCGTGCTACTGAGGGGATGCTACGTACCAATATTACGGAGCCTTCTTCGATTTATAGAGATAGAGAGAGAGAATCGGTTCTTCTGTTTGCAACACCTGCTATTCAAAAGCCCTACTCGCACGCTTTTGACGTAGAAATTTATGCTACATATTCTGCCACGTGTCAACATATGATTGGAACGAGAAGGTCGGCGGGACGAGTAATGTGAACCGCCACAAATTGGCGCGTCAGACTGTAGAAAAAGCCTTGGCTTCTTTCTTGGAAGGCGGGGCTGTAAATAGGGGTAATTAGGGATATTGCACGAATAAATTTATGCATTTTTTTTTTATTGACAGTGAAAAATGACATATTTCCGTTTTATATAATTTTAAATATATCTCTGAAGTTTTTTTTTTTTTTGGCAATATATATTCTAAAGTTTATACTTTATTTATTCTATAGCTTTTATTAAAATTAAAACAAAATTTATGTCGTAGAATAAAAATAAATTAAGTTAAATTGAAAATGTTAATAAACTTGAATGAAGAAAAAAGATTTTAAAAATCTATAATTTGTTTTTCAATTTGACTGGTATTTAAAAATTAACCGTAAAATTACTATTAGGTTAAATTTTAAATTATAAAAAACATTAACGTGAAAGTTTTCAAGTATGTTTTAATATATAAATATAATTTGAGATTATAAAATATAAAATATAAAATTTATTATATTTTATATTTAATTTAGATTATTTAAATATGAGTAGCTAACCATAAGTATTAACTAGTTAAAACATATATTATTTTGTGAGTTCGAATTATTGTCACACGTGTTATTTTTTCGTGTTGTTGTACTAAGAAAAATTAGCAATTAATAGTTTTATAATAACAAAACCTAATTAAAAGATATATATGTATATATAACATCATTTTTTTCAGAAATAATGTATAACATCCAGGGTAGATAGTTGGTACCAAAAAAATATAGATAATAATTTGAGATCATAAGTTCGAATTTTCAACCTCCACTTGTACCTGAAAAAATAAAAATATTCTTACAAATAAAGTAAATATGAGTTTTTTTTTTTCATTCTGGTATGGGTGTGTATATACATATGGAGTTTTACTTTTTAATAGGGAATCTCACGTTTAATATGGTAATCTTCTATAACAGGTTGGACTAATTCACATACCACGATTAAAATATCTAAATGAGATCATATTTAAATTTTAAATAAAATATTTTATGTGTTAAATAAATACTAATTAAAATAAATTTTTTCTAGACAAATAAACATATATATTTCACTTCAAACCTTTGAACTAATGAAAGTAAAATTTATTTACATAGTAAATATTTTATCTTTATTTACGGAAAGAAAAAAAAACTATTTTTCTCCTCCTTTTTTTCCGCCGGGTTCAAACGACGGGGTTTCAAATCTCCTTTATAGGCTGATATACTTAAAAAAAAAAATAATAATAATAAGCATATAATGTTCAAGAGGAACAATTAAAAATAAATAAGGGTAGAGGAATTTATCCTCGTAGCTTTTTTGTTGTCTCTCTCTCTTTCTTTACAGCTTACTAGCTGTTATATATAGAATAAATTTCTAAAATTTATATATATTTTTGGAATTAGATAATTTTATCTTAAAATCTATTGCATACGAGAGAAATTAAAAGGTGGGATTTTTTTTTTTTTTTTTACTTTCAAACCACTTTATGAATTTCCTTTTTATTCTTTTTGGAATTCATTAATGTTCCATTCCTTGTTTTATTTTTATTTTTTAGTTCAAGAAACACGTGGGCGAAAATTTGAATATCCACCATTTTAATCAATTACATGTATCATAAATTATTTGAACTACTTAAATTTTCACAAATATTGATATTACTATTGAAAGTAAGAAATCATTATTTATCGAAAATATATATATTAATCAGTTGAGCTATGGTTAGATTATTATATTTCAAATTTTTTATTTGGTTAAATATAAAATTGAATTAAAAAAATAACACCAATCCCAGAAATTTGGCCTAATCCAAATGCACATAAGGGACAAAAAGTGTTTTTTTTCTATAATATATTTTCCTAATAAATACTTTTGAGAAAATATATTTGGAGGATGTGATGTCTCTAATATTTGTGGAATCAAAATTGGATCTGGTTTCTTTTCATTCTTCATTTGACACGAGTCAACTAAAAGTGATATCACATTCAGCCATTGTTACGGAATCCCAGGGCTATTGATTTTTGTCCATTCAAAAGGTAGCCAACTTTGAATAACAGCTTAGTTCAAAATAATTATTAATTAATTTTTACCCTAGACAAAGATTATCAATTATTACCTGCTTTTAGTTTTATTAAACTTTGAAGGGACTAGGATTAATTAAGAAGAAATATGTTCAAACTCCGTGATAGTCACCTACTTAGGAATTAGTAATTTCTATGTGTTTTCTAGCATCAAATTATAGGGTTAGGTGGTTGTCCCGTGAGATTAGAGATGTGCGTAAACTGGCTCGGACACTCACGGATATGAAAAAAATAGTTTTATTAAACTTTTACTTTAAACATGAATAAATAATATTGCGATATTTATCTTAAATCTGAATAAGTGTTACAATTTTTATAATTAAAAGTTTATGGTAAAAATTAATACAACTTATCGAGTAAAAATTTTAAATTTTTCTTTCAGACTAAAATATTGAGAACATATGTAAAATATTAAAATTTTCATAGCTCTCGCTAGTTCAAACTATTGAACTTGAGAGCTTATCCCTGCAGTTATGCACGCTTCGAATAGGAATCCAGAAAATAAATAAAGGTAGAAATATAATCCTTCATTATGTTCGATATAAAGTCCATCCATATAATATACATACAAGGGAAATAAAAATACTTAATAAAAAAGTAAGAAACTATTAACAAATCACTGACTATTAGTGATCAGTCGGTGGATAAAACTGATCATAATTTATAATAGGATTTTTTTTAAATAATTATTTTTTAAAAACAAATGACAAATCTAGCGTAGGTTTGAAAGTAATTACAAAACTAGGGTAGATAAATCGCAGGGATAGGCTGGCTGCGATTTGCCCAAAATCGCAGGCGATGGCTGCGATTTCACTAAAGTCGCAACCAATGGCTGGGACTTTTCCCTGACGTGGCACAAATAGAGCCACGTCTTTGCTGAGCCATTTGTTCTTTTTTTATTTTCTTTTATTTTGAATTGGAAGTCGCAGCTTTGTTTTTTTTGTTAAATTTGGGAGTGGCAGCACGGGCCACTTCCCCCGCTTCCTCTTTCATTTTTTATTTTTTAACTTTTTTATTTTTATATTTTGAATTTAAAAGTTGTAGTTCTGCAACTTCCCACCAATATCTTTTTGTTTTTTTTAATTTTATTTAAAAAAAAAATACTCTCATCTTAATTTTCTCCATATTTGGAAAATAGTTCTTAATTACCTACAACATGATGACATATTCCTATAATGTAATAATTTAAAACAAAATAATTGTAAAACAAATAAAACCCTATGTTTGCAAGCCGAAATTGCAGTCCATGATCGCGATTTTGTGAAAGTTGCAGTCATTGACTGCGACTTTCGTGTGACACGGCTTTTAAGAATGCCACGTGTTGGAATGGAAATCGCATGCATTTGATGCGAGTTATATATGATATATATATTATTTTGCCAATTTTTTTAAATGATAATAATTGTGCAGCATTGGTCATAATGATCGTTATTAACCCTCCATGCTCCAACATTTTTATTCCAATTTCTCTTTTAACCTTTTTTTTATTTCATTTTCGCTATTAACTTCTTTTTATTTTCAATTTTTACTCCTCCAACGTTTTTTAACTTTTTTTTCTTCAATTTCTCTTTTAACCTTCTTTTAAAAATTTAATGTTCTCTTTTTATTTTTTATTTTTTTTTACTTTTTTAAATTTCATTTTCTCTTTTAACTTCTTGTTATTTTCAATTGTAAGTTGCCGTTACGTACATGTGATTCTTTTTATATAAATTATTGTAACGTTTAGTATGATCTAAGATTTATTGAAAAAATATGTTCTAGACGTATACTTTTACTTATAATAAAATAAATTGTATTTTATAGGTAAAATAAATAAAAACTATATAGAAAATAGAAAATAAATAAAATACTAATAAAATAAAATATTTTATTCGTAAAATAAATAAAAAAACTACATAAATAAATATATAAATATTTTAAATGAAAATCGCGTTCTGTACGCGACTTTCCATAAATAGAAATTGCGTACAATGTAGGCGACTTCTATAAATGGAAAGTCGCCTACAATGTACACGATTTCCTTGCTGACTCATTCTTCGGGTTCACCTCATCTATGTCATGTTGGCATCGCATGGATTGTATGCAATTTTTGACTTTGAGTAGCACCTAACCTATTTTTGTCAATAGTTTGAATGTATGACTTAATTTTGTAATTTTTTTATTTATACTACATTTATTTTGTTATTACTTTTAAATATACATTATTTTTGTAATTTATTTTTTAAATTACATTATTCTTAAACTTTCTCCTATTTCCAAGCATAGGTCGAAAATGGGAAATTGCGTTTAATAAAATAGGAAATTGTCAACATTGAGTTTCCAATTGCGACAATTTGGCAATGTGGTGGAATGGAATGGAATTATGATTGGACACGCAGCTAAGCCTTGGCCAGAGAGCAAGAGCAATGAAACTTATTCCAATTTTGAAAGTGGAAATGGCTCTCCAAGGATCCATAATTCTTTTACCAATTTTTATTGAATGCGTTTTCTTTTTCTGTTTGTTTTTTTTTAATTAGAACATATGAAGATTTAGATTTATAAACTATAGATTGAAGATATTTTAAACAGTTGAACTATGTTTAGATTGATAATATGTATTTTTATTTAATAATATTATATTTTCCTTCTAATAAAAGTGTGGAAGGATATAATCTTACACTTTAATATCAAGGCTAAAAAATATTTATTGGAGTTGAAACCAGACTAATCAAAAGAGCGAAAAAAAACTCGTGTAATCCTTGAATGATGTTTTTAAGATCATTAATTATTATGGGAATCATCAAACTTTCAAATTTTAATTTCCCCTGCTATGTCATCTTGGTCATTGTCTCTTTGCTTCAACAACAAAATATCATATTCAATTACATCACTAAATATATAATTTTTCTAGACCTAAGAGAAAATATTTTCATGAGTAAACATATCATTATAGATATAGTAAAAATGTATTTGTTTTTATATTTATATAAAGTTTTTATTTTATAGGAATTCAAAACATAAGCTATATTGACCAAAGCGAACCTGACTCAACGATAATTGATATATATCTCCAACCAACAGGTTAAAATTTCGCCACACTAAAAAATCACATGCTTACTTTTACCGAAAGCTAGTGTTTGCAAACATACATGCTTTAGTGGTAGGACCGGACCGGACTGGACTGGAGGATGGTGGGTTTCTTCTTGGTGACGGTGGGTGATGCCTCAGTTCAGCAGACCGGATGAATTTATATTACTGCAATTTTTCTTTTTTTCTTTCCTTTAGGAGATCTTTTCGAAAGAGGCGTTTTTTTTTGCCGTGCATCTTTTTTTATTTCAATTAAGTTCGTAGAAAAGCAATATCTATTTTTGTTTTTTATTTAAATTAAACAATGGTCTTCATTATTCAATACTCCTCCACACATTTTAAACATATTTAATTTGATAGAATCCATAGATCCAACTTTCTAACTAATTTCTTAATTCAAATAGAATCTTATATTGTATTGTAAATTGTTTTTTTTTTGTTTTTGTTTAAAATAAATGTGTTATTTATTAAAATTGATTTCTCTTATAAAATAAAATAATTACAAATTTTTTTTAATAAAAAACTATAAAATAAATTATCTATCTCTTAAATAAAATAATTACTATTAAAATTTATATTCTATTGATTTTAATAAGCAATATCTATGTTAATTTTGTTCGAATTGAACCTATTTTAATTATTTTAAAAGAAAAAAATTACAACATAGATATTTTATTAAAAGATAAGAGAGATTTTAATAAATTGTAATTTCTGTTAAAGAACATTTAAAAAAATATTGTAGTTATTTTAATAGTGATTCTTTTATTTTAGGAGAAAAAAGATTTTTTTTTAAGTAATACTCTTTTATATTTGTTTAAAAGAGAAAAATATTACAATATAACATAGGAATTGAACGTAGATAAAGCTGGAAAATTGAATCTATAACCATTATACCAAATTAAATATATTAGAGTTTTTTTTTAATATTGTTCAAATGAAATTATTTTTAAAAATATTACAACATTCAAACTAATTCATAAAATAATGTTGATTTTTTTTAGATTTGGGGCATTGTCCAGTCCAGCCACCGCAAACTCCCTCCTCCTACCCAAGAACCCATTCTCCTCTCCCTCCCAAGCTCTCTCTTTATTAACTAACCAAAATAGTTAAATCTAATAACCTTTCATAAATCTTTTAATATAAAATTACTTCCGATTAAAATATAATTCTAAGAAATTTAAATTTAACTTTATCTAATGTTGTGATAAGTATATCAACAATTTACTTGGTAGATCCTACTTTATGACATTTAAATATATATATAGATCAATTTGTAAAATAGTTTAGAATATGGTGGTATTTTTAGTTTGTCAAGCTTTCTTCTCTAAGCCGCTTACTGGTCCAACAAAGAAGTGGCCCAATTTCAGCAAAAGCCCATATATAGCATGATTGTTTAGGCTTTTGAAGAAGGAAAGTTAGGCCCATTGCCTTTAATATTGGGCCTTTGGTAGAAGTCCAATTGGGTTAGAGGTTGCTGCAAAAGTCAAATTTCGGGAAATTTTTTCCAAAATAAATAATTGTAAAAAACAAATAGAACTGTTTGTTGAATTATTTGTTATGTTTAAATGCTATTGTGGTAGTTGCACTATTCGTCTATTTTAGTTCCAAAAGTTTGTTTTGGTCGGTGTACTTTTGAAAAGTGATTATTTCGATCTTATATGCAACGTTTGATAAAAATTTTAAATTAAATAAAAATATTTAATATAAATTTATGATTACATTTTAAAAAAATTTAGTAAGTGAAGAAATATCATGTTAAAATTTTGATCCAAATAAATGACATCAAAATGTAAATGAATGAACCAAAATGATCACTTTTTAAAAGTTCAAGAATTAAAACAAACGATGAAAAAAATACAAAAACTAAAATGAATCAACGTTAAAAACATAGGAATAGACATTTTGAAACTAATGAATCAAAATGAGCTAAAACCAAAAGTGTAATGATGAAAATAGCATTTAAACGTGATTATAAGCTTGATTGATATAATTCTTTGTTTTCTATTTTTTTTAAAAAAGAATTATAAAATCTAGGCAAATTTTGCTTTCAACATTTGTTTTTCTCGGCATTCTCCTGACCTATTATAGCCTACAATTTCATTTTTTTATTTTTAAATAACTATAGCCTACATTTACTTGACCATAGTTGATTGATGAATTCTACCATGCCAAAATTTGTAGCCTTTTCCCCCTTTTTGTGTTGTCTTCTAGCTTATAGTATATTTTTCTTTTTTTACTTTATATAGTATAGATGGGGTATAATCAAACCTCAAATCCATTACATCACACACATATATTTTTTCAATTGTTTTTAATAAAAATATTCAATACATTATTTATGTGCCCGTATGTGAGATGTTGTCAATTTCTATTATCATAAAATAAAATCACACTTCCTCATTTGGTATGAAGACATGTTTTTATAAAATAGGTCAATCTAAATGTGGTTAAGCTATTTCTTTCCAACTAAAAGGTAGTAAGTTCAAATATCCCCACATATTAAAAAAAAAAGAATCCGGTAAATACACAACCATTTAGTCAATAGAAATCCGTTTTAGCTCATAAATTCGTGAAACATATGTCTTTGGGGTGTGTTAAAGAGCGAACATCAAGAATCTAAGTTTATGATGTAGATCGAGATAAACAAACTCATATGCCAACAACCCGAGGCTCAGCACGTACAAACTCGAGGCCATACAAGTGAAGTGAGAAGGAAGGAAGGGAATAAAATTCGGTGGGCATACTTTGAAATCTCACCAAGGAAGGAATTCAGCCACAAAAAATAAACATATATTAAAGGAAAGAAAAAGGGAAAATTGATGAGTTATCTATCTATATTCTATTGTTCTGTACGGAATGTCAGCAGAAAACCAGTGGCAGTGAGTCATGGTAAGTAATGATTGGGCTTTAGATTCATATTCAGCAACCTCTCTGCCTTTTGTATTCAATTATCAGCCACTGATGTCTATTCTCACTCTAGCAAACAACAACAACAACAACAATCTTTCTTTTTCTTCACTTTTTCCTACTGACAGTTGCAAATTTTCTCTCATTTTCTCTCCATCCAAACAGGGAAAAGAAAGAAGCAGCAGCAGCAGCAGCACTCAACTCATCATCTCCAGTGATCAATTAATGAGTGTTTAGATAAGCAAAGACAGAGATTTGGGTTGAGTTTAGTAAGTCAAATCCAAGAATAAGATGCAAAAGTAAAGGCAATGATTGAGAAATTAAAAGGAAGCTCAAAAGTAATGGAGTTTCACCAAATTGTGATTCCAAGTTGGTTGGTCATTTTCTTTTCTTGTCAAGTGGGGCATTGGAGAAAAAGACTAGCAATTTGGAGGGGGGGAAGTTAAGAACTTTGGGTGTGAGTGGGGACATGAATGGCCATGAAAGAAGAAGACATACCATCAAGCAAGTTGGCAAAAAATGGGACCAAATTTGTGGAAAAATCAATCTCTTTCCAATCTCTTTCAAACTCCCAACAATCAAGAAAAAGATAGGGATAAGATGTTAAAGCTACATAAATAGCAGCTGTCAATATGCTTAACCAACGGCCCTTGTTTGTTTATCTGCTCATATGACTAAATCTTCTTCAGGGTCCCATTTCATAATTCTCTCTCCCACCCACTCTCTCACTCTAGGCCATCCCAACCCTACATATATATTCAAAACAGGAGAATAGTTTTTTTCCTTTTCCCTTTTTTCCCCTCCTTTTTTACTTTTTCTTTTTCCCGGTTCCCGATGGATGTAGATTAACAAAAAAACTGTCAATCTGAGTAAAGCTTAGTAGATGAGGTACCTATTAGAGTCTAAAGTTGGAGATTTCATTCTTGTCCACAAACAAGGTCTTGAGAGGTAATATCAGTGTTAAGATAACAGCGTAACATCCAAATCTAACTTATTTTGAATTCATAAACAGTGTTAAGATAACAGATATTACATAAAAAGGAGCTTAAGCTGCTTCTCAACTCATCATTTTGGCAGAACAAACTAGCTGATCTTATTTTGTAACCTTCTTTTTTTTTTCTTTGACAAAAATTTTTTTGTTAAATACCTGGAATTGCAAGATCTAGAATCTTGAGTTTTTTAGCTGTCTCTACAGTATACAGATTAATGAAGCTTACATTGCTGCTTTGAACAATAATTTTTAATATGGTAATGGAGTCGGAAGGCATATAAGCTGTACTTGGAGGCAAGAATCTGTATCAGATATACACAGAGAGAACAACAATCATGCTTCCACCATATCTGGCAATGATGCTCTACAACAAACTGAGGAGGGACCGTTGCTAACAGATAAACATGCATAATCACTTTGTCAACCTGTTAACATCAGCAAAAGCAAAGACTGTCAACGAAAGCTACGTGACCGAGACACAGTTGCAGTATCGGATTCAGAAAGAGGAAGGGAAATTTTGCTTTAATTCCTTAGGTATTTGTCTTCCCATTTGGCCACCGTGCATTTACACTCTGGGACTACGACTCATAAGGAAAGACATTAGAATGACATATTGGCCGACAACTAGGTGAAGATTTTTGAAAGGGTAAGGATTTAGATAACTTGCTACCCTTTCTTTGTAGAGGGAAAAAAAGGTAGGTGTCTAGTGAGAAGATAAGGCATCATCATATGAACTCACTCAGTTGTTTCTTACAACCATTCATTATGTCCAAGACTGGTAGAATCCACAAAGTAAAGTTTCCAAACTTTCAACATGATTCATGCACTTGCTTTCTCTCTCTCTCTTTTCCCCAAAGAAGAAAACACAGGCTTTTCTTTTAAGATATTAGATTTAGACAATAAGTGAATTACTTTACTACCAACACATATAAACAACAGTGACAGAAAAGAAGTCGTATACAAGTCACATTAACACTAATCACTCGCTAATGATGCAGAAAGCATGATTGGAAGAAGACTTACCCAAATTGCAATCTACAATATCATTAGTTACAGATCCTCCAGCATTAGGTCCACTAACAGGGCCCGGTGCTGCTACTGTTTGACTCTGCAAGACTGCTGGGGGACAAAATCTGAAGACATTTATGGGCTGCAAAAGAAAGCCAGATATGATTAGTGTAAAATGTTATAATTTTTTAGCAAAACATCCAAAATACAGACTCTAAACACAATCCGATCGTGGAAAAATAAGATGTTGTTCGATAGGAGGAAGACGACAAACCTGTGAGGCAGGTTGCATATGGTGTAAGCCCATTAGACGAGCATACTGCTCTTGGAAAGCAGGATTCTGCATCTGATTTTGATAATTTATGGGGTTGAAAATTGGAGGCTGGCACATCATAGGCTGGTTTGGCGTTGGAGCCACTGAAACTGATTGATCAACCATTGGGACCCGAGGTAATTGCATGGAGTTGTGAATTGAAGGCATTGAAGGTTGGGCCATACCCATACCCATACCCATGGCCATTCGAGACATGTAATGTTGAATGCCCGGAAACATCATTGGTGCCATCCCACTTCCCATCCACATTACCTATTGAACATTACACCATTACAAAAAATTGTGCTTTGTGTTGTATGAAGCAAAATCAGATTGATTTTGTAGAAATCTTAGTTAAACTCATACCTGTAGTTGTAATTGAAGTGACTTCAAATATTCAATGGCTTCATCCAGCATCGAAGCTTTATCGGTCTGCAGCAGAAGGACTACTTAATAAAGAATACAAGATTCAGGCTGATAGAAAAAACTTAAAGTCAACCCTAGTTAAATTAATATATTTCAGTCATTGTTAGGTCCAGCATGAAGATAACATAAGCTTGTGTTTAACCAAAAAGAAAAGGAAAAAAGTTCTTGAATGTTTTTGTTTGCTGTTTCGTCAAATTATCAAACGGATCAGACAACTATTATGAAGGATAAACCAGCAAAGTTCTAGTTGGACTTTTCCATTATCACTAATAAAGTTGCAGGAAGCAGTCACTAAGATCACATAAAAGATAACCAGGATTGCAACAGAATATAACCATCAAGAAACGAGACAGAATCGAAAAGGGAGACTAGATGTTGTGTGCAAGTACCTTATTACAGTGTGGTATGAGCTCTTGCAGTGCTTTCATCTTTTCATTTATCCTCTCTCTTCTCCTCTGCATCACAATTAAGCTCTTCTCAAAAAAATCAAAATATAAGAAACTTTGATCAATGGGGAACTTTAGATGTCCTACCCTTTCTGAAAGGTTATGCACTTCCGCAGCACGAGTCCTGCGAGAAGATCCGGACCGTGGAGCTGCTTTGTTTCCCTCAGCAGATTCCAGTTCAGCAGTCTACAGAATGTTTAACAAACTGAAGTTCACACCAAGAAAGAAGAATTAAGGGGCTTTATGATAGAACAAAGGCAATAGGCATAATAGTTTTACCTCGCTCTGGCACTCGGATTCCTCTCCATCCCTGCCTTTTCGTTTGTTTCTATTACCTCCATTAGATTGTCCAATTGTCCTACTTCTATCCATACTACTTCCCGAACCGCCAGAGGATGAAGTGGAAGTTGGATCCATGGTCTCAGTTTTGCCCCTCTCACCTTGTGGAACCATCTTTCTATGATCTTCCTTGGAGAGACCAGCAGATAAACCAGCATTTCCAAAGCCACTGGTCGAAACCCGGCTTGCATCGGGATCATTCGAATTAGGAACTTGGTTGCTTCCACAGTGGCTCGAACCAACTGTCATTGCTGAACAATCTCTACCCTCTCCCTGTATCAAGTTTCCAGACTCTCTCCCTCCATTTGATGATCCCAAGTCACCCTTCAAGGGCACAGGAACTTGAGAAAAGTTTACTATTTTCCCCAAATCTCCAAAATCCTTGGTCTGCTGTGTCGAATTGGGAAGCTGAAATCTTGGAGGAGGCATTGTGTTTGTAGGAAACTCAGCAAGAGCTGCTGCAGGGTGCTTCGAACTCGGTCTTTGAGAATTCCCAAAACTTACATGAGTTGTATTGTCAAAGGCACCAAATCTAGTATGCTTCTCATCTTGGAAATGTTTGATAGGCTGCTTAACAATCTCAATAGGATCAGCATGCGGCAATTCAGAGAAGAAATTGGAACAAAATTCTTTTTCAAATGAGTCCTCAATCGGGTCTTGTATCCAGGAGACCGTCTCATCATCTTGAATCAAATTGCTTGAATTTCCACAAGACACATTGCTCCTATAAAGTAGCTGATTCTGTTTCTGAAATTGTCTTACATCACTAGGAACTAGACTTGGTTTTCTACCCTTTTGGCTATTTAACACCACCTGCCCATTTCTCCATAAAAGCTCCACAAGATCATCATGTTCAGGTCTGCAAAATCCCCATCCAAGCTTAAACACAAATTAACAAAATACCAACCTTGAGATTTTTCCCCCTCCTGAAACTTGAAACAACTAGAAAGGGAAAGAAAGTGAGAGAAAAGAGAGAAAGCCAACCCCATTGATTTCTTATGGTTGGCTGTAGGAAGGTCACCCTCAAAATTCCAATCAGGAAAACAATAACTCATGGCTGCTTACACACAGAAGCTCTGTCAAAAAGCAAATAAACAACAGGGTTTAAATTCAAAATTATAATAATATGCTGATTAGTGATCACAGCACCGAGCTCTATTCAGTACTATAACGCTTTAAAAGGCAGAAAACAAGAAATCCCCGCAAATTATTCCACTAAACCCACACAATCTAGTTCAGCAATTGACTAACAAAAAAGAAATAATTAATAAAAATCTCTTGTCCCCATTTATCAACACCACTCGGATTAAGCAAAAGACTGGGAAGAAAGTCCAACTAAAACAATATTTAATGGCACTTTAATTTAAATAATGTACACAATTGACCAAGCCAACAAGCAAATGATTAAAAAACACCATAATCATACCTTTAAAACAGAGAAGAGGAAAGAGAATCTTCAAGAATTCAGGAGAAGAAACAGAGGAGGGAAAAAAAAATAGGAGTATAAAATAACAAACAAAGAAAAGGCTGTATGTCTGTCTGTCTAAATTTGGTAAAATCAAATTCAGAAATTCTCTTCCCACGAACCGATTCGATTATTTTACATTATCAGGATAGCTTTAAAAGAAAATTATAAAAAGAAAAACACCCAAAAGGGGATTCATAAAAAAAAAAAAAAAACTCAACTACCCACGAAAAAAAACGAGGAGAATTAGAAGAAATTCGTCTAAAAGGGGGAAAAAGGGCAAACAGATAAGAGATTGAAAAAAATGAGAGGCACCCATAAGCAGAAAACGAAGAAGGGAAACAAAAACCTGAAGAAATCCGAATTTTCAGTAGACAAGCCTGGAAATGGAAGTGACCTTTCTTTCTCTCTCTGCTCTTTTCTTTGTTTCTCTCTCTAAGTTGAGAGCACACTCCACAGCAGAAATGGCGATGGACAAAAAAAAAAGGCATTTAAAACCAGTTGTGAGGGAAAAGGACGTCACACACAGAGGTCAGAGCAAAAGATTCGGTACTGTAACTATACAAATGAGCTCCTAGGGAGTCCACGTGGCGGACGACAAATGAGTCTGTGATTTTGGTGTGGGACCAGCGGGGGGAGGTTAGTTTTGTTCATCAAATTCCATGGAGGAAGAAGCTGATTTTATTATTATTTTTTTAAGGAAGAAATTTGCAGAGCAAAAAAATCTACATCTTCAACGCCATGGGAGGTGCAATCTGAAATTGGACAAAGGGCAGTGCCATGTGTGCAGTGGGAGAAAAAGCTGTTTTTTTTTGTGTTTTTTTAATTTTTTTTAATATTTATCAATGATGAGAGAGAGAGAGAGAGAGAGAGAGGATAGAGAGAGGGGACAGATCTGGTCAGAAGAATAGTGGTGACAACTCACCTACTGATTCAGCCTATTGGGTAAGTTATATTTTTTCTTATTGGATTTAATGGTGGAAAGGAAACTTATTCTTTTTATATATATATATATATATATATATTTATTGGTGTCCTATTTTCTCTTCATTTTTCTCATGTTTGATGGCAAATCTGATTTTTTTTTTCTTGATTCACATTTAAATAATGTTATATGGGGAGTTTCAAATCATGGCATTGATGTTAGTGAAAGAAAAGTCCAACCCTTTTTAGAAATATGTGAGTACAATATTTATATCATGTTTGTTTATTTGGTTTCAAAGGGGAGTAGATTAAAGATTTAAATATTGTTTCTATTCTTGTTAATTTTGGTTCATGCTTCTTTAAGATGTCAGTTTTGATTCATGTACTTTCAAAACTACTTTTAAAAAAGTAATTATTTCAATTCCTGTCAGTAAGATATTAACACAAATTTTATACATGTTGAAAATTCTTTAATATAAATTTACGGTTACATTTAAAAGGATTTTGTGAGTGAAGTGTTATGTTAAAATTTTGATTGAAATAAATGAGATAAACATGAAAATGAAGGATCAAAATGGCTACCGTTTAAAAGTATATGGATTAAAACGAACATTTCAAAAGTATATAAATTAAAAGAAACAAAAAAAATGAAATTCGAAAGATCAAAATGAACGTTTTGATTATTTTGAAAACATGAAGATTAAAATAAATTAAAACTAAAGTAGAAATTAAATTAATATATATTTTTTAGTATAACAACTAAATTAGTAGTCAAATCTAGATTAAAATATATGGTGTGATGTGACCATGTAGCAATTTGTGCTGTGGTAATAAATTTTGATTTGACTTTAGATTTGGGCTGCGGAATTCTTATGTCTATAGGTTGTATCTAGAGAGGAGGAATTGTCAAAAGTCATAAAAAGAGTAATGGAAAAAAATGAATTTTTGGGGCAACTATTGGAAATATAATAAGTTTAAATTATCAACTTTTGGGGGAAAAGGAGAAGAAAATCTTCATGGAAAGTGGAGAAAGCAAAATAAATATATGCCAACCATACAAAATTTCTCTTTTTCCTAACCATGGAATTTTGTGTGATCCTATTGGATTAAATAGTTGTTTAATACAAAACCTCCCACTGTTGGTCAATGTAATCATCTCAAAAATCATAGAGAAATAGAGAAGTATAGACTTCGGGTTTTTACAATAATGATATATTTTTTCTTATCGATAAATACTTATCAATACAGTTTAAGTGTGATGGTACAATCAATTGTTGTAACGGATGCAGTTACTACTTACCATTAAAGACAATTTGATTATGACTTTGCAAGTCGAAATTTCAAGGTTTCGTATCGAGATCGACTCCTGATGGATTTTCTCCTGCTGCAATCAAATAACAATGAGGGATCGGAAGTGAGTTTGATGTGCAAAGAGATTCAAGTTATGTCTAGTCGGATATGAGGAATTATCTTTGACTATTGTAAACGAGGGAGTAATGGAGCAGTCCATTTGACAGTGAAGATGGCAGTCGATACAGAGGTTGAAGGTGTTTGGCTAGAAGAGGCCACCGAAGGTCGCCTGCGTGGCTGTGAGGTGTGATTCTAAGGCTTCTGCAATGGAAGACATGCATGTTAATTTAATGTTCTTTTAACCGTTCCTGTTTCTTTGCTTCTTTGCTTAAAAAATAAATAAGTAATAAATATAAATTTTTATGTTAAAGAATATTATTTTCTTTTATGACGTTTTAATTTTTAGACATACTTTGTATGTAATTTAGAAGAAAACATATATAGAAGTTAACTTGAACTCAAACCAAACCAATAACTATGGACCACACGTTTTGATCAATAATGCTAAAAATGGTAAAACTACCATATTTTTCATTAGGATTTGATGTATACAAAACTAGACAAAACCTGTCCATCGAAACACTAACCAATTAGCTAAGACATCTATTTTCGACAAAAAAGTCGTGAGTTCAAATTCTCACATTCACATGTTAGATAAAAGAAAAAAAAGACTAGACAAGTGGACGTAACTATGTTTGGACTCGAATGTATGGATTTAAATACAAAGAGTTTGAGATTTATAACCAATCAATCAATTTATATACACTTGTTTCAATGTGAATCAAGACTTTTTTTTAAAAAAATTTATTTATTTACTTTTGAAGTGTAATTTAACAACAGAAGTCTCCAACCAAGAAGTTATGAATTCAAATCTCTCATTCCCTTATTGTGCTAAAAAAACAACAGAAAAAAATGGGACAGTTGCAAATATGACAAAATTTTTTAGTAAAATTTTCAAAATAGCAATCAAATTTAGTTTTTTCAAATATAGCACTTCAAAAGAAAAAAACAGAGGTCCAATTTTTAAAATGACAACTTTATCCAAATGATATATATGGAATGTATCTGACTACTGATATATATGTATATGTATGTAATATACATCTGATATACTACTGATATGAGTGTCTGATATACTTGCAATATGTATGTGATATACATCTGATATACTACTGATATGAATGTTTGTGCAATATGTATGTGATATACATCTAACATACTATTGATATGTGTCTGATATATTATTGATATAAGTATATGATATACTACTGATATAAGTGAAATTTTTTGTTATATTTGAAAATTTGACAAGTAACATATTTTGAAATACATTAAAGATTTTTATTACCATTTCTAAAAAAAATAAAATCCTTTTGAACCATTTGATCAGTGCCATTATTATGCAATTTTAATTTATTAATTTACTTCAAACACAGCAAGTAATTTGCTTGAAAGTTAACTGTGTTCATTTAATTAAAGTATTAGTAACCTGTACTTTTACATTTTTATATTAAATATATATATATATATATATATATATATATAATATTGATTAATAGAAACAATAATTCTAAAAAATTGTAAATTTCAATTATGATTACGCCCTTGATTTGAATGGTCACATTTTTGTGAGCGTCTGTTTGTCTTTGCTTCTGTGTTGTTCGCTTCTTCTTATTTTTTTAAATAAAGATAAAATTATATTTAGTGATAATTTTCTATTTGTCGTTGTATTATTTTTTATTAAGATAAAATAGAATTACATTCTATAATTATTTCATAAAAAATTTCTTTTATTTTCAAAATGAATGTTCACTAAAACTGTTCATATACTAAAATGATATAATAATTTTGAATATATCTTATTTTAAAAATACTTTCAGGTAAAACTTGCAGTTATTTAATTTAAACTTTTTGACAAGACACTATAAATAATTTTTTTCAAATAGATATTAGAAATAGTTACTAAATAATTTTTTTTTTTAATTTTTCCACTAAAAATAACAATAATAATAATAACGAATTACCAAATATATTTTATTTTTTCCTATTACAAGGTGTAGGTTTAAATCCCCACTCACTTAATTTGCAGTTTTACAAACAAATAATCAAGCTATAAAATTTTGTGTCAACATAAGCTCAACCGTTTAAGTATATTGTTCATTCCTTATAGATCGGAAAAAAAGCTATAAAATTTTATATTTGAGTTTCATTTACAATTTCAAGAATATTTATAAAAATGAGAAATGAGAAGCGTTAATAACCTGCATATTTTTCAAAAAAAACAAAAAACGATGAACGAAGAAAGAAAATCAATATTTGATATTACAGTTCCAAATCCAAAACTTTCTTATCTATTCAAATTTTCAAACATATTTTATTTCATAAACATGTGTTACATGAGAACAAGAACATCAAATTTTCTAATTAGAAAAATCTAGCCATGAAATATAGAAACATATAGTTTATCAATATAATGGCTTTGATATATGATATTAATAATACAACTCCTCGAAAGAAATTTCTCATCACAAAACTTATCTTTCTCGTCTGATTCCCATTTTTAAGATTTAGATGGAAAAACAATCACAATTCACAGGCAAGAAAAAGAAAAGAAAAAAAAAAAGACAAGTCATTAAATTGCAATATAAGATATTTTCTCCAATGAAAATGAAAGCTAGACAAACCATTCATAAGTGATCGATACTTATATTTTACTGACCATCTTTAATTTACCATACGAGAAAAGCGAAAAACAGATATTTTTTATTTTTTTAAAGTGGTCAACAGGAAGATGTGTAAAGTAAATATCCTGTATGAAAAGTGGGAAATTATATACTAGTACACATTTTTATATCAATGGATTAAGAATTTAGAGCTTCTCAACGGGGAAACCAATAACAGGTTTAATTTCTGAAGCCAAGGAGCGAAGTTCATCGACTTCTTCATCGGAGATTCTCCAACCCAATGCACCTGCAAATTCTATAGCCTGTTCTGCATTTTTCGCTCCCGGGATCGGCACGACGTTTTCCTGTGCTATTAACCAGTTCAGCACTACCTGAAGAGAAAGAACGTTCCGATTCTCACCAAAATTCAGCATTTGTTATGAAAAAGGCGAGACAAAGATGACAAATAAAGGAAGAAAATCACAAGAACACAAACTTTGCAAAAAGATCTATAGGTAGAGGAGGAGAAGGACATGTTTCGCTGTGAAGATCAATTTTTCGTTGATATGACCAAAAATCACTTTTGTCATTGTCAAGATCAATCCAATTAAAATATTAATGTTTTACAATATGTATAAGTGATTTTAGAAAATGAAAAAAGCCACTTGTACATTGTTGTAAGACATTACTATTTTGTGTCTGATAGGTTCGTCAACTTAAAATCACTTCTATCTAATAGTTTTGTGAATTAAAAAAAAAAAAAAGTTAAATAAGTCAGAGATTTATTAGACACGAAATTGAAAGTTAAAAGACCTATTAACCACAAAATTAAAAGTTCAGAAACCTATTAAATACAAAATTAAAAGTTTAGAAATCTATTAGACATTACCCTCTTGAAAATTCGGGAAGGGAACTTGTAATTTAACCTCAGTTTTGAATTGAAAAAGAAAGTGAAGAAACTAACCTGTGTGGGTGATTTATTGTAGTTCGCTCCTATTTCCCGAATCCGGTTCAACAGAGGTTGGAGCTGCATTTAAAACAAATACTTTAGAAATAAAGCAAAACACGTTAAGGACAGATTTTCTCAAACTTTTAAGAGTCTCTCAACCTCTGCTAGAAACTCCGGAGTATAGATTCGAGCTCGAGGGCCGGTCGGAGGATTTTCTGGAGTGTACTTTCCCGTCAGAACACCTGTTGCATAAATTTACATACAAAACACCCTCTTAACTGGTTTTGAAGTTTCAGTCCTTGCATTTGAAGAAGTCATAGGATATCCCAGAACACAAAAATTGCATAAAGGAAACTGTATGCAATATGGAAAATTGTTTCATTTCAGGCTGATATCTGAACTAACATGATAACTGAACCGACCTGGATCGACTTACCTTGAGCGATTGGCGAATAAGCAATTAAGGTGATTCCAAGTTCATCACAGGTAGCCTTCACGCCATTCTCTTCTGGTGTTCTGTATATGAGGCTATAATTCACCTGGTTTGAAGCTAGTGGAATGCCTCTTTTCTTAAGCTTCTTGTAAGCATCTCGAAGTCGTTTTTCTAGATTGAGAAACCATACAAAGTTTTCGATTTCAGCCATAAGGGAAAGCCACTGAGAAAGACAGAATTAGAACATACCACTGTAATTTGAAACACCAACAGCCTTCACAAGTCCCTGCTCAACAGCATCGCCAAGCCCATCAATATACCCTGAAAAAGGATTTCTTTAATGAACTAAGCTTCTTCTTAATCTGAATGATGGCATAAAAACATATGAGATGACCCCCACAATCTTTATGGAGTCAAATGTTGAGAAAATTCAAGCTTTTCTTTTCAGTTGTGGACAGAACAACCTTCATTTCCCCATATTCCAGGCCTGAAAAGTGAACAATAGGAAACAGTGGATTAGGAACTATCTAGTCAAAGTTTATAGTAAAGGAGTCTATAAGCACAGACCAATGAAGTTGATAAAGGTCGACCGATGCAAGACCGAGGCGACCGAGGGAGTCCTTAAGGGCTTTTATGACACTTTGACGGCCAAACCTCCATGGCAAAGCCGCAAATTTTGTAGCAACTGCAACCTCAACTCCAGGATCCTTCTCCTTCTTTTCTTTAATAAATCTGCAACAACGTAGATATGGATAAGTCTCTAATAGTCAAGATGTATGCAAAGACTAATAACTGTGTTTGGGGTGATTTTTGAAAAAAATGCTTCTTAAATAAAAACTTTTTCTATAAGCACTTTTGGAAGAATTACTAATTTAGAGTGTGTTTAGTATCGCTTCTAAGTGATTTTAGAGGACTAAAAAGTGTTTTTTTTTTAAATACCTTTAAACTTTTTTTAAAAAAAATTGAATTAGTTTCTTTTTTTAAGAGATGATTATCCAAAAAGTGACTTTAAAGTGATTGACACTCAAGTTAGTTTAAGCACGCGGGAGATGATTAGTAAAAGGAAAGTGCTTAAACTAAAAGGCATTGCCAAACTCACCCTAAGAGCGGAAAAAAGGTATGTCACATGGAAGTTAGTTAGAAGAGAGAATGCATATTTATATTCCTTTATAGAAAAGTAATCGGTAGAGACAGAGGTGACTTTTCAGGATGTGATTAGTGAGGAGAGCGAGGCCCCCTCGAATGGCCAAGGGCAAAGCGTTAACTTGGTAGCCTATTTCATTTAAATACAATTCTGTTTCTAATACATTAAATTAGTATTCAAATGTACCTTCCTAGAAGAGTTTCTGAACTTATGGCACCTAACGCATACTGCCAAAGAATAAGATTATTGCAATTCAATTAGCTAAGATCTTTCACGGATCACAACGATAACAAGTGAAGATAACAGCATATTATATCCCACCGAGGAGCCATAAACTTCAGCGGTATCGATGAAGGTAATGCCACGGTCAATGCTGGCATCAAAAGCAGCCTTAGCATCCTTCATCTTCCTATCTGAATCGCTCCAAAAAGAAAGAGAGATCTCAAACATGAAAACACACTCTACCACTATTGAAAACATCAATTCAATCGAAATATATTTCAGTCACCAATGTCCTAAATCAAAATCAGGACACAATAAACTTCTTATGAGCTTGTTCCATGGTGATCTGAAGAACTTAACAGAAAAGATTTACTACTCATTCTTACAAGAAGTTCCTATAGTTTCAACTTCTTCCATTAACATCAAATATCAATAGATACCAATAAATAAGTGTTTCCTCTCAAATTTAATGCTTCAGAAGTCAGACCAAAAGCACATTTCACCGTTCAAAAACCATACCAAACTCATTTCTAGTCTCATCCTACAAGTTTTAGTCAACAATCAGCTAAAGTGTTCATATATCTTCTATCATCTACAGCTCTATTTTCTGCCACCAGAAGCACACAAAAATGAAAATATTATGAATCAATCTACAAAAGGGGTTTCCTATATTCCAATTTTTGGGCATAATTTGACCGAGATTCTGGAACTTACCATCCCATTCAAAGTTATTCCAATAGCTGTTATCTCCCCAAGACCAAGAGCCAACTCCAAGCGTGGTCACCTTCAGCTCAGAACCGCCCAATTTCACCTTCTCTTCCGGCGAGGTCAATGTGCCATAATCCTCCGAAGCCACGCCTCTCACTCTGTAAATTCTACTCTGATTTCTTGGAGAAATTGCAAAACAGGCGTAGCTCAAGTGCACCGCCATGGCTCCCTACGGCGGCGCGCGGTTTATAGAAAGCTCAATCGAAAGAACAAGTTAATGGCTTCAAATCTTTTGGCCAAAATGAATCAGACGATTCGAAGAAAAGGAAATTTCGGCCTGAAGAATGATAATATTCGGATTTTTTTTTTTATAATGAAAATCTTTTGAAAGATCAAATCGGGGCAAGTGGAAATCCAAATGTCAGGGAGGGAGAATGGTTGGCCCGAAAACACACAAGTCTCTTGTTTTTAAGGAGAATTAGAACACAAGGTTTCAGTTAAATTAAAAAAAAAATTATTTTATTTGTAGTACTGAAGGGCTATATTTGTCCTTTCACGTTTGATTAGATGACATGGTTCTTGTTTTATGGCTTCAATTCATTCGTACTGTCATTCAATTCAATTGTACTGTCGTTCGTTCGTTTCGTATAAAAAGAGAGGTCCAACTAAAATAATAATTTTCTTTTCTTAAAAAAAAAAATGTTATTATTATTATTAATGAGTGAAATTTGAACTCATGATTAACTAGTTAGTAGTTTTAGAATTAAATAGAATAAACTCAAAATTGAAAATTAAAAGAAATGGATATGAGACTTAAATCAAAATAATAAAAAATAAATAAATGGGCCATTTTATTGGAATAGGCTGCCGTACAGGTCACACGCTTGGCCGAAATGGGCCTATCACGCGGCCTCTTTTCAAAATTTCCTCCGAAGATTTGTTTTTTGAGCTTCATATGGGTCTATCATCCGGCCTCTTCTAAAAAAATCCACGTCATCACTAATTTTTTCAAATAATTCTAGAATATTCAGGATTATCAATCTATCTAATTATAAATGAATAAAGACTACTCAATATATCCATTAAATAGCACAAATATAATTCTCATTAATTTGTTACCTATGAATTAATTATTAATTATTATTTTATTTTCCTTTTTCTTTCTCAAACTATTAAAAATGTCTTACCAGTTACTAATTAGCTTTTGAAATAAAGAAATAATATTCAAAATTAAGAAAACAATGCTGCAACCTTTACGTAGAGAAAAAATCCGTAGACAACTTTTTGGGGGACCTTGCTGCTCTCTCTTACTTTGACATAATTCAAAAAGTGTATATATAAAATATTTATGATTTGGGAGAAAAACTTTATTATGAAAAGTTTTCTATCCTACTTCCTTTTATTGTGGGTCATTAAAGTATCATAAAAAATAACGTAGACCATATTGAATAAAATAATATATTACTTAATGTGTCAAAATGTGAATGGAAGGAGTAAGTACTCCCATAATACTATAAATTTTTCTATCATGTTACAATTTTTACCTCTAAAGTTTTAGAATTGAAAGGTTATATATATAAAAAGTTGAAGGTAATTAAATTTTGCCTCATCTTAAGAAAATTTATAATAGCTCGTCTATCTATCATTGCTCAATGGACACTTTTTCGAAATGGTACCTATGTAGTATGTAAGCAAAGGTCTCCAAATTTTGAGAGTTTTATCAAATTGGATATACAAACGAGCGATATATCCATATGTTCGTTTGAATTTGTTGTGCTATAATATCATATCAATAGTTGACAATGAGATGAATAGTTAATGTCTATTATAAATCTTTCTAAAGTCAATTTTATTTTCAACTTGGGATTCTTAATCGGATATGACGAATAATTACTTTATCAAAAACTCTTGGGAGATTGCGTGTATTTCTTTTTTAATCAATACTCATCTAAGAAAAACAGGCTTAGCTTAAGTGCACTGTCATGGGCGCGCGGACCAAAGAAAGCTCAATCGAAAGAACAAGTTTATGGCTTCAAATCTTTTGGCAGAAATGAATCAGAGGAGAAGAAGGAAATTTGGGACTGAAGAAGGATAATATTCGGATTTTTTTTTTTAAATGATGAAAATCTTTTGTAATATCAAATGCGGGGAGTGGAAATCCAAATGTCAGGGAAGGATAATGTTGGCCCGAAAACACACAAGTCTCTTGGTTTTTGGAAAATTAAAACACGAGGTTTGATTAGATGACACGTTCAATTCGATAGTACTATCGTTCCGTGTAAAAAGAGATGTCCAATTAAAATAATAATAATAATAAATTTTTTATAAATTTTTTAACGAAATAAGCTCTTGACCAAATAATTATTTTTTCTAAAAGCTTAGAAGTTTTGGAATTAAAATATAATAAACTCATAATTGAAAATTAAAAAGAAATGAACATGAGATTTAAATCAAAATAATAAATAAATGGGCCATGTCATTGGAATGGGTGGCGGTACAGGTCACACGCTTGGCCCAAATGAGCCTATCACGCGGCCTCCTCCAAAGATTTGTTTTTTGAGCTTAATGGGCCTATCATCCGGCCTCTTCTAAAAAATTCCACATCATCACATTTTTTCAAATAAGTCTAGAATACTTTGGACTAATGATGCATTAATAAAGACCCTTTGATATATCCCTATTAAATAATCCAAATATAATTATTGTTTAATTTGTTATCCATATATGAATTAATTATTAAATTAATTCCAATAATCTCCCACTACTCAGGATTTCCTTTTATTTTGCCCTTTCTTTTTCAAACCATTAAAAGTGTCTTACTAGTTACTAAATACTAAATAGCCTTTGAAATAAAGAAATAATATTCAAAATTAAGAAAACAATGCTGCAACCTTTCCATAGGGAGAAAATCCTAGACAACTTTTTGGAGAGACATTGCTGCTTTCTCTTACTTCGACATAATTCAAAAAGTATATATAAAATATTTATGATTCGGGAGAAAAACTTTATTATAAAAAGTTCTCTATCCTACCCCTTTTATTGTTGGTCATTAAAGCAACGTAAGAATAGTGTGGACCTTATTGAATAAAATAATATATTACTTAATGATGTGTCAAAATGTGAATGGAAGGAGTAGGTACTACTGTAGTACTAGAAAGTTTCCCATGATATCAATTTTTGTCTAATTTATTTGCTAAAGTATTAGAATTGAAATATTATATATATATATATATATAAAGTTGGAAAGTAATTAAATTTTGCCCCATCTTATGAAAATTTATAGCTCGTCTATCTATCATTGCTCAATGCACACTAATCATGTAATATGTAAGCAAAGGTTAAGAGTTCAAGGGCTCCAATTTTCAATCCTTTGTTGAATTATAGTTAAAAATTCTATTGGAGTCTGATTTCAAGTTGATCAATTGTATGGAAGAATAAAATTTTGGGTAATTATACATTAAATTTTGAAATACAAAACCCCCAAAACTCTTAGTATAATCATTTGAACGATTACTACTAGAAAATTGGGTTTTCGTGACGCTCATGAATAGTAAAATACTGTTCAAAATAAAAATATGTGTCACGAAAGGTAAAAAATGCATTTTTGGACGAAAAAAACAGAGATTTCCAAATATTTGACCTTTCGTGATGTTTTTTAACCGTCACAAAACGGTGGTCAAAAAGTTGGTTTTTCATGACAATTAAAAAACGTCACGAAAGATTGATGCGCGTTTTTGGCGGGAAATGACGGAGTGTTCCGAATTTTTGACTTTTTGTGACGTTTTTCTAACCGTCACGAAATGATCGTCAAAAAGTTGGTTTTTCGTGACGTTTAAAAACTGTCACGAAAGGTTGAGGTGCGTTTTTGGTGGGAAATGACGGAGTGTTCCGAATTTTTTACTTTTCGTGACGTTTTTCTAACTGTCACGAAATGGTAGTCAAAAAGTTGGTTTTTCGTGACGTTTAAAAAATATAGTGAAAAATAGATTAAAAAAAATAATTAATTAACTTAAAATATTTGAAGCTAATTTGATGGAATATATTTTTTTAGGCATTGTTAGAATTTAAGTTAACAAAACTTAAAAACCTAAAATTTAGGTGGTAGAAATTCTCTAAATTTTGAATCCCATTAAAAATAAATATTATTTTTGTATTTCTATTTCATTTTAAAAGAAAACATATTTAGGAATGAGTCAATTTCCATTATTTTATATTATTTTTTCACCCTAAATGTAACGACTCGTGTTTGCGTTAGTTTGCTTTTAAGATTTAATTTGTGTTTTTGGATTTTCCCGTCGGATTTTCCCCTAAGCCGATAATTTAAATCTTTTGATTTTCTAAATTTAGGGTTCTATTTTTGGGTAAGTTAGGATTTAATTAGAATTTAAGTTTAATTTTATTGGACCAAGATAAATTAAGTTAGCGAATTTTAATCAAGATAATTTTACAAAGAGAATTTCATAGATTTTTTTTTCTTCCATCGAAAAAGATTTAATTAATGCTTATAATTTCAATACGAAGGATTGAAATTTGAAATTACAAATCTTGGAAAAATGAAAATACAAATTATTTTTTTCAAATTTAATTACAAAGTATAGAAAAAGAATAGAGAAAAAGAAGTAAATTAACTTAAAGATTTTGGTAAATACGTGGGGATGGTGCTTTAAAAATAATCCCCAAATTCATTTCTCTCTCTCATTCATTCCCACCCCCCAAATCGATTTTTCATAGCCATCGCCCAAGCACAGTCACTCCTCGCCGTTCGTCTGTTCGTAGCCCTGCACTGTCGCCGCCATCCATCGTCCACCGTCCATGGCTGCTGCTTTTCGCCCTCCACCATTCTTCCTCATTCGCGCCCACCCTCCAAATCAACTTTCCTCTCCCTATTATCGTCATTCCTGGTTCGTTGTTCGCCATCCGCCGTCTGTGGCTGCCGCTCCTTGCCGTCAGTCGCTCGTGAAGTAAATATTTTCTTTAAACATTGTTCATCCTCCTTTCGTACTTGAAACCGGATTGGTTAATTTCTTATGCTTCTCTCTAGGGTTTGAGTGAGAAATAGGAAGGGGAAATTTTGTTGGATTTGAAATTACATATACGTGGGGTAGGGGATTCGGAGGAAGTCCAGTTGTTTCACTAGTTTGTAGACTCCGACTCTCTCCTTCTCTGGCTCACCGATGGACCCGGTTGCTCTGCTTTTTCTAAACTTGCGTTTGAAATTGGTAATTATTCATTTCATCATAAATATTTTATTTGATTGTTTGGTGCTTTGTCCCATT